TTGGACGACATACTATACTATGACTTTTTTATCATATTTTTGACGTCATACTATACTATGACTTTCTTATCATATTTTTGACGTCATACTATACTATGACTTTTTTATCATATTTTTGACGTCATACTATACTATGACTTTCTTATATTTTTGACGACATACTATACTATGACTTTTTTATCATATTTTGGACGTCATACTATACTATGACTTTTTTATCATATTTTTGACGACATACTATACTGTGACTTTTTTTTATCATATTTTGGACGTCATCCTATACTATGACTTTTTTATCATATTTTTGATGTCATACTATACTATAAATTTTTTATCATATTTTGGACGTCATACTATACTTTGACTTTTCTGGTGAAATTTTGACCGCATACTATACTATGGCTCTTTTTGTGTCAAATTGTTATGACATATTATACTATGACATTTTTGGGAAAGTTTTGATGACATGCTATGCTATGATTTTGTTCATGAAGTTTAGACGACAAACTATACTGTCTTTTTGTAGGGGTCAAATTGTTATGACATACTATCTTAGGACATTTTTGTTGAAATTTTCATGACATACTATGAGTTTTCTGGTGAAATGTCATAGTATAGTGCGTCGCCCAAAGCTCACCCAAAAAGTCATAGTAGTCAAAAGTTCACCAAAAAAGTCAAGAGAAGTCAAAATTTCCCCAAAAAAGTCATAGTATAGCATGTCGTAACAATTTGACCTAAAAAAGGCATAGTATAGTATGTCCTCCATATTTCACCAAAAATATCAAAGGAAAATTCTGTCTTTTTTTGTTCCAATTCGTTTAATTCATTGAAGTATATTTACTCCTCCTACGGGTACCACAAATTCTGACAATGTGACCTGATGCCCCCCACATCACATGCTCACTTCCCTAAACACTTGGCTTGTGGTGCAGCATGCTCATCACTTTATGGAGAAGTCAGTGAGTCACGCCCAAACAGCATGATATTTATTTATCGGTCAAAGGACAGCACACACACCAGCACACACTCTTATCAAAACACATTTGAAATATAATTTATTGCACATTTAAAGATCAACATAAAGTGGCACGATACCCATTTCAATCCTGTTACATCAGAAACAAAAAAAAGAGAAGTCCTTACAAAATGCTCACACCTTCTGTTTATGATTTTTGACTTTAGAACAAAATGGCCGTGAGGTTGCAGGAATGCCAGACCGAAACTGCATAGATTTATAAAAAAAACATAAAAAATAAAAAAAAGAGAGACAGAGACACTTCTTCTTTAATATGGCACAGAAAATCCAATCAGACATTGGCGTTACTCATACGTGTCATGAGCCCATCAACTTCCACATTGTCCCAGTGACTTAGAGGCGGCTCAATGCGTCAGAACAACCTGGGGATTTCCAATTCTTAAAGAGGAAAGCACTGATAGCATGTTCTCGGAAATATATATATCGAGCCCAATTTTAAATTGTCTTATGCAGATGCGATAAATCCAAAATTAAAAACATTCCTCAAGCCCCATTTACAGTAGCATCTTATTATTAAAACATTTTGGGAGCAGGCGTGCGTCACTGTAAAAACCTCGACATGGAGGTGCAATTAAAGAAAAACTATACAAAAACAAATTACATGACAGTCACAGTCATTTGTTTAAGATACTATTTACATCTTTGACCTCATTTTTCATATCACAACCCAAACTCCGTTTTCATCATGGTTTCAGAATCGTCCACATTATTGATTCAATTAGCCGTCAGGATTCATCATCACTGGATATTTATTATTTCATGGTTTTTAGAAGGAATCTTATTGCTGCATGGCTCATATTTTGAGAACTGATTTCATAGTATTTGTTGGCAACAATCTATAACCTTATATCTACTGTTGCTGCATCGACTACATCATAAACTAAACCACTGTGAAATGTGTGACACCCAACATAAATATCTGCCATTTAAAAGTGGCTTACATGATACAAAACCGACCCTAAGGAGCTACAGTATGTACAGTATGACAGTGAGAGCTGGCAGCAGTGGGTAAGATATAATCAAAGAAATAATTATAGGTTGATGGCACAAATGTTCAGAAGTCTGTTTTCATGATCCCCTCACCTCCCCCTGAACCTTGAGTAAAGTAAACATACACATGTTGATGTACAGTACAGCATAAATACAAACCCAGCCAATGGTCAAGAGAAGAACAGCACAAAAGCATGCTAACTGGTTTCAAAATCAACTCCTATATTAAGTCATAAACACAGTTTTATTAGGGTTACCTGATTAGAGTTTTACAGTTTCATTAGGGCCGCCTGGTTGCATATTTTTATGGACACAACAGCTGTGAAGTGAATGAAGCCTTAAAGATATACTATGCAGGATTTTTCCAAAAAACATATAATAAGACACAAGACTCACACAGAAGTAATCCCTCTTAAACATCACTTATGAACCACTGGAAGTGTGTGGTAGTGTGTTTTTCTGCAGAGACTCTGCCTTCTGCCTCTATTGTCTGTATTCTTTCTGTGTTCGGGACTTTTATGGGTGTGTACCCCATGGATGTCTAAAGAGAACTGGGTACAGCGTTGGCAGCGTACAGGCAGGAGCCCACGCATTCCTATGAAAGTTGCTCAGTGGCACATGTAGCCACAAAAGCTTTATTTCCTCAGTATGAAATTACCTGGAACTTCTGCATCATGGGGCCCATACATGGGCGGATTATAAGACAATGGGCCTCTGGGCACAAATATGCAGAGGGCCCCACCACCTCTCCTACAGAGGAGCAAGACACACAGACTTATGGGTGGTTTTGCGTCTCTTTATGGTCGTTATGCATCTTTTTGTAGGTTTGTGTCTCTTTGTGGCCATGTTGAGTCTCCTCCTGGTCAGTATGTGTTAATTTGACATTTTGCACAAAAAGGCCAAGGTGCCCCTGACACTTTGGGCCCCTAGGCCTCTGCCTGGTAGGTCAGTAATCCATCCATGGGGTCATAGAGCAAGTGCACAAGACTTTCTGTGGCAGAGTGGCTAACTTCTGGTTTAGCAATAAGCTAACTTGATTGGGGATGAAATGATTTGTGCGACTCTTCTTGACTTTTGAAATATTACTGGACCAAATGGATCAAATCCTGATAGTTAAAGTCATTTCAAAGGGGTTGTGACACTCAAAAAGATGTATCCAATGATTTAAAAGCGTCTCTTTTACAATGTAAGTCCATGGAAAAGGTCTTTTTGGGGCCCAGTGGCATCACGTGACAGAACCAGACGTTGTAATTCCACATTTGGCCACTATGTAAAATTGGCTTCAAAGCCTGGCGCTGTTCCTGGGGGCTTGGTGTACCCCAACAGCATTCAGGTGAGGTTGGGGATTTCTAAAAAGGTGGCGACCAGATGCAAGACCATAAGCAGAAGGCATCCAAGAGAAAAAATGTTGAAAAACCACAAATATAGCGAGGTGAAATTCCGAACAAGAGTAATTCTGGGGTCGGCTTTTAACTTTTAAAAACAGTAGCCGACAATCCTGCATAGTATACCTTCAACAGGTGTATCTGTCCAGTTTACTCACTGACATGGCGTTTACTGGGGAAATGGTGCAGTTTTATTTAAAGTTTAAGAACTAAACCCCCCACGTTAGCCCCTTGATAATAAAACATTATATACATGGACAGCAGTAAAGAAATGTGATTAGTTTGGCACACAACAACGTAGGCTTTTATACTCTGGGTTTTCCCCGTCTTGAGCTGAGTTGAATATTAAACAGTAATATGATTGGTTTGGTAGCCTCGTAGTGGGTCACATAAATGTTTGATGAAAGATAGCCCATTTATGCCTCTGAGGAAATAAGCTGATAACTACTGAAACTGCTCTTTAGTGCCACCGTAACAGTGCTGATTATTTTCAAATCCGACTTTCCAGTTAAATCAAGGTCAATCAAAACAACAAGCATTCAAACGCTACCTGCATCAAAATCATTTTTAATTGTCAAGGTTGGATCCAGCTGGCTGCTGCGGCTGTTCAGGAGAAACACAGCTTGAACAGAAAAGGAGAGTTTAAACGAGAGAGAAAGGCCTCAAATTTGAATTCAACTGACCTAATTTTTAATGTTACAGAACCTGCCTGTTGAGTACATTTACCCTGGCACTACCATGATAGATGGTTCTAACAACCTTGCCTATTGATAATCACAAAAAAAAAAAAAAAAAAAAAAAAAAAAATCAAGAGAAATTTTTTTTGTCTGCCACTGAACGAAAACCTTAAACCACAGGACGCATATTGTCCAAGTAAACATAAATAAAGATGCAAAGTAGAGTTCCAGAGCTGAGTTATTTGGAGACACTTTGAAGAAGCAGCACTTGAGAAAAACTGGAGGGAGATACTGAAAGTCAGACAGAAATAGAGAAAAGAGAGGAGAGAGGCAGAAGGGAGATAAAGGACGTTAAGAGAGACAGACTTTCCTTTGGCACCTGAGCCACAGTGGCAGTGCTCTTCTGTGGGCGGAAAAGGTACCAGGCGAGGGTAAAGAGACAAGACAGAAGAGGGAACGAGGGAGGTTTCGCTAAACAGCTCATGCCCGAAATATCCTCCCTTGACCTTCTCTCTTCGACAGGAGCTTTATTCTTTTCCCGCTCGCTCCGTCTGTAGATCCTGATTCGGTTCCTCCCACATTAGTCGCACCACTCAAAAATCATCAGATCAGAGCCAGAGTCTGTCCACCAATTCTCCTTCACAGTCTTGCACCTCACTCCTGCAGGAAAACCCTCAGTAAACAGTGAGTGCTCGCGGAGAGGAGGTTCTTCAGGTTCTTCTGTAGCAGTTTCTTTATGGCACATGATGGGACTTCTGCAGGTTTTCGGTTTCGCTTCCACAGAAGAACCTCAAGTTCCTCCCAGATTACTTTCACAGGCTCAGATCCTCCCACAGGTGCTCCTCTGAGGTCGGTTAGTGCAGATCGCTCTGTGTTGAGGTTCTCCCCCGGGTTTCGGTTCAGTGTGTGGTTCTATAGGTTCTCCCCAGGCTGATACTGGGGTTCTGTGGAGGTGAAGTAGTCCTCTAGGAAGCCCTGCAGGTACTCGAACGTAGGCCTCTCTTCGGGGTCCTTCCTCCAGCAGGAGAGCATGAGCTCGTGCAAGGAACTGGGGCACTCTGCGGGGCAGGGCATCCTGTAGCCGCGCTCCACCTGGTCCAGCACCTCGCGGTTTACCATACCTGCCGAGAGGAGACAGGAAGTTAGATTTAGGGAACAGATATGAACAAGTCATTAACACAATCCTTTATTACTTAAATTCCTAAAATATTAAATAATACATCAGATCGTCAATACAGTGTTCCACTTAAACGGAAACAACGCAGCCAACAGTACACGCAGGGGAGGTTAAAACATGTCTCAAAATTTCAGTTTAAATTAATTATGCTGTGTAGTTCGCTCCATCAACAATAAATCCACGCTATGTCGTGAAAAGGATAAAAGGTAGCAGCTCAGGCTTTAGCTCCAAGCTTTAGACCAGATCTATATCCCCTTTTTGGGAATGTAAGATGAGGGGTTGTCATCTGTCATCTAGCAGGTGAACCAGGGCTTTCCCAGAGATTTTAGGCACATGATGTACGTGAATATTCACTGTCAGTGTGGTAAATCTCTTAATGACACTGGTGACAGTTACTACTGATGGATATCTAATGTTGGCTTGAGTGGGAGGCTGCTGCAGTACAGTCATACAGCATAGCAGCATCTGACTGGCTATTGATAGGTTGCTTATTTACAGACAACTCTCAGCCTAATGATAGCTGGTGATTGAATCAAATATAAATGACCAGATAATCAATATCCGGCCACTGTGTTTGGTCACTGATCCACTTGGACAGATGAAGACTGACAGGACATGATGGATCTCTCTTAATTTAATTAAGGGATCCCAAATGCTCAGGTTCAGGCGAGGTCACAAACAGTTTAATAAAACAAACGTTTGTTTAACAAGAAATAAAAGCATACAGAGATATTAAAATTGTAATCCAAACACATATCAGACTGCACTGACATCAATATGATCATCGGCTTTCTATCCTCCAAAAGGGGGCGCAGCCTCAACGTTTTGCAAAGCACCTGTATGTGTTGGTGTCATGGAACCACTCTGTAGTTTCAGCATTTTTAGGAGGTACAACAAATGATATTCTTCATAACTGATTAATGGGATGATCATTTTTGTGTAGTCTGTATTGTTAAAAAGGGTCAGAAACCCAAAGATCTTCCGTTTACGGTCACATACAACAAGAAAAAGCACCAAATGGTCACATTTGAGAAGATGGATTGAGATATTTTTGCCTAAAAATGGCTTAACCAATTATTCAAGTATCAAAATAGTTTGATTAAATTTCAGTCACTTGATCGTCTAATTGTTTCAGCTCTTATCATCTAGCATGATTATTGCTTGAGGACATTTTGTTAAAGAAACACTTGTTTAAAGGGGGAATTGTTCAGGTGATAATTATGCGAGTCTTTACCTGGATAGGGGACTCTGCCTTTAGTTGCCAGCTCTGTGAGCAGCACACCAAAGGACCAGACATCTGACTTGATGGTGAAACGACCGTACAGAGCTGCCTCTGGTGCCGTCCACTTGATTGGGAACTTCGCTCCTGAGGAAACATGACAATTAAAAAAAATAAAAAAGAGTTACGAGTGTGTTAAAAAATCTATACTAACATGTAGTGTAAAAAGTAAGTGTGGACTCACCCTGTCTCGCAGTGTACTCGTTGTCTTCAATGAGTCTTGCCAGGCCAAAGTCGGCCACTTTACACACCAGGTTGTCTCCCACCAGGATGTTGGCAGCGCGCAGGTCTCTGTGGACGTAGTTCATCCTCTCCACATACGCCATGCCTGCTGCAATCTGGAGGAAATGACAGAGAGAGGACGGGGATTTTAAAATAAATACAGCATGTTGTGCAGTTTTTAATGTGGCAGATCTGTAAGTGATTTTACCTGAGCAGCCATGTCTACTAGCTGAGGCAGACGAAGCATCTTTCCTGCGTCCCCTTTAAGGAAGTCCAGTAAGCTACCTGTGAGTGAAAGATAAAACATAATGCATCAAATGAAACATAACCACCAAATACATAACCAGTTTTCCATTTTACTGTATGTGTAAACCTTGAAGAGCAAGCTACGATCTAGGTGTCTTTGTAAGCACACCAATATGTGTATTGTTAGAGATGTTACGATACTAATGGCGATACAACACCTATATTTCAGTGCCAAAACAATCATTTAATCATATTTTACTTATCAACCAGTATTTGATGGTTAACAATACTCTACAGAAGCATTTCAGTCAGTGTCAAAAAAAAAAGACTGAAGTTTAATACCCAGCACTTGTTACAGTCTGCATCCTGTTTTACCTTGGCTCATGTACTCTGTCACAATGTAGATAGGCTCCTCAGACACAACGGCGTACAGCTGGACCAGCTTCTCGTGCCTCAGCTTCTTCATGACCTGTGCTTCCTGAAGAAAGGCCTCTGGAGACATAGTGCCAGGCTTTAGGGTCTTAATGGCTACCCGTGTTGTACCGTTCCATGTGCCTGTTGGAAAACACAGAAGAATAACATCACTGTAAAACTTTTTGTAGAAAGAACTAAATCTCCTCTTAACATGCAGTAATGTTGACTTTGGGGCTTATCGTCTGTCTTGCTGAGGGCTAGATGAGTAGATCAATGTCACTCTTGTATCCGTCCATTCATAAAATCAGTAGCCTGTTAGCTTAGCTTAGCATAAAGACTGAAAACAGGGAGAGACAGCGAGCCTGGCTTTGTCCAAAGGTAACAGATCCATCTACCAGCACCTGTAAACTCAGTAATAAGACATTATATCCTGTTAATTTAATCTGTACAGAAACAGAAGGTTGTAGGATAGAATAGAATAGAAGGTTATGTGCTGGGTTATGAGCTAAAAGGGTGCTGGTACTATTGGAGCCAGGCTAGCCGTTTCTCCTTTCCAGCATTTGTGCTAAGCTAACTAGCTGCTAATTGTAGCCTTATATTTCAAAGCAGGACATCGGACTGATATCAGTCTCCTCAACCAACACTGGGAAGCAAATAAGCATATTCCCCAAACGTCAAAATATTCCTTTCAGAATAAATTAATTAGCTATAATAGCTTTTTGAAGGATGCATCCGGTCAGTGCACTTCAAGAAAAGAGAGACTGATCGTCATATTTTGAATATTCAGTGTATAACCTGTCCATCAAGCACAGTGTGAGAGGAATTCAATCAGTTCCACTAAAAAGAAGTGGTGCATATCACTTACCCATCCAGACCTCTCCAAAGCAGCCCTGTCCCAGTTTAAGGTCGAGGCGGAGGGACTCTCTGGGGATCTCCCAGGCGTCCCTGGCCAGTCCCTGGGTCTGAGGTTTGGCCACAGGACACACATCTGACAGAGCGTGGCACAGCCCATCAGAGTGCTCTGAAAGAGGGAACAGGCAGGTAAGAGGAGGCAACAGTGTTGTAAAAGGTTAACAGATGTGTGTGAGCACTCACTGCGGTAGTGGAAGACTAGCTGCTGTAGGCTTGTGAACTGGGTGCGGGAGGTGATGTAGAAACCTCCGCTGTCCAGCTTCCTGATCTTGTAATGTTTAACATTCAGCCCTTTGGTGTTATCGTAGTCCAGCACTGACAGGCAATATGCCCCTGTGAACAAGACAAAACAGCAGACGCAGACAGGTTAGAACAATACAACCAGTATGTGGAACTGGGTGACAGCTGCTCTGTGGTGTTTCCAAGCAGCTGTGCTGGGCAGGTCCCTCATGGCCCTTTAAAAAGGCCCTGGAAATTCAACTAAGCCTGTCTGTCGTTGTCCACGGCCCACTAATGAGTAAAGTTTGATCTTGATTAAAACAGTGATAATTAATGACTTGATTTGTGCAAACACTTTTCAGTCCAGGCTGGAAGTGTGCAAATATTTAATCTGACCATTTTAATGTCACTTAATATGTGCTTTATGTTAATTGTTGAAACTCTGTGTTGCAGCTATTCTTGGCCAGGTCTCTTTGTAAGGAGATTTTTGAACTCAGTGGGATAAACCTGGTTAATAAAGGCTTAATACTACTACTACTACTACTACTACTAATAATAATAATAATAATAATGACAGGTAAAAAAAAAGACAATTACAAACCATTACAACAACAGATTATTAGGTGAGAAACAGTCTGGCTGACAGGATGTAGACTGTGGGTATAAACTTGTCATTGGCCGCCTATTTCAGACAGTAAATGGAAAATGGCCCTGCACTTGTAGAGTGCTTTTCTGGTCTTCCAACACCTCAAAGTGCTTCAACATTACATGTCACTTTCATCCATTCACACACAGAGTCACACACTAGTGGTTGAGGCCACCATACATGGCGCCACCTGCTACTCAGTAACCATTCACACCCACTCTCACACCGACGGAACGGCCATCAGGAGCAATTCGGGGTTCGGGGTATCTTGCCCAAAGATACTTCTAGCCAGGGATTAAACTGTCGATCTTCTGACTAGTGGATGACCTCCCCACATGCAAATGTTCCACCAAAAACAAAAAGATTGTGAAGGCGTATGTTTTCCCTTAATGTGGAATTATGACGGGGTCAGTCAGACCTTTTTCCAGTGCTGTCACAGTGCTGGAGAAAACTAGTCTGGCTATGCAAGTATAGCTCAAAAATAATAGAAATGTTTTAAAATAAAGACCTTACAATTGAGACAGGAATCCAAATTGTAAACATGGATTTCAAGAAGTGATTCAAACAGCTGAAGAGACCTAACGACAACCTTTATGGAGAGGTTAGAAATGAAAAATCAATCCTCTTTGATCTGGAGTTTTTCTGACTGATGTTCACTCGTCTTCCCCCAGTCAGAAAGAAAATCTAGTGCAGCAAAGACAAGCTTCCCACAGATTTTGTCTACTCACTAATTGGACTGACAGTCTATTGACCTGAAGTTCCCTACAGTTTAACCACTGACCTATCTTAACTTCACTGAAGATCAACCCTGGGTCACACATTACTGGATGTACTGAACAAAGATAAAAATACCAGAGCCTGAACTCAATTATTTCCTGTGGTTATATTAATTTTACAGATATACAGCCTCCATGCAACAACTACTAAATTTAACCTGTTGTATATAATTGTCTCCTCTCATATGTATCAGATCAGAGGCACAAACTCTGCTAACAGAAGCTGAGATGATGATTTTCACCTGCCATGTTTCAGGCTTTGAAGTGCCTTTACGATCAGATGTGTCACCATCACTCTGACATGATTTACATTTGATTCAACATACGAGCGGCATGCTTCTGCTCCTCCGTGTCACACTATGAGCCTCACATGTGACATCTAATACAGAACACACCCAGAGGCCAACACACCTCCTGCCAGAGCTCCTCCTACTCTCCCTGATCCTCCCCCTTTCCTACAAGTCTCCCCCCTTCTTCATGCCTCTCCTCCTCTCTCTCAGTGCGTGTGTGTGTGTGTTGGGAGAACAGAGACTTATAGCCAGGGGGAAATCCAGCACCCTCCTAGGTTGACCTACTTCTGGCAGAGTGATTCACCCCTATCCATTCATAAGGCCCACTCCACTCCACTGTGCTCTTTTTCCTTCCCCCCCCCACTTCCTCCAAAACAACCCCCTGAAGAGCCCGCTGACGTCACAGGGACTCAACCTGACTACAGAGTTTCAGAGGAAGATGCAAAACTCCAGAGAACAAAGAAATAGCAACACAGGCCTGTGTGAAAGTTAATAAATGGCTTAATTACGAGGTCTCTTTTAAATTAAGTCCCTAAAGATCTACTTATTTCAAAGCAAGATCGAGTCTGAGTAAACTCCAGGGACGCAGAGAGAATGTCATCACGTCCTTTTTTCACACATCTTAAAAATAAACAGCTCAGGTTTTATGAGATGTGTTTTATAATCAGTATCTCTGATGATAAGGCATATGTTTTCGATAACGATGGTGCGCTGCCAGGAAACACAACTCAAAGGCGGTAAGATTACAATCTCTGGTCGTATTAAAACGTGTTTGTCTTTCAAAATGACTGTTAAAAGATTTTGATGTAATGCTGTGATCCGCAGTTTTTTCTCATAATATCTGACACTAGACCTCAAACACAAATTTGTAGCTGTATTTTTTTTTTTTTTGTCAAGGCATTTGCATTCATCTTGATAAATAGGTAATAAGCAAAGGTAGGACTGCAACTAATGATTATTTTCATTCTTAATTAATTTCACTATTATTTTCACAATCAACTGATGAATTGTTTTGGGTATAAAATGCTTTAAAATGGGTTAAACATGTCCGTCAAATATTCCTGTTTGTTTCGTCAATTAAGAAAGAGCAGCAGAAATTGACAAGAGAATTTGTGATGAACTAACTGATTAGTTAAGGTACTTTCACACCAGCCCTGTTAGGTCTGGTTCAATCTGGAAATCCATCGGTAAAAAAAAAAATTAAATAAAAAATTTCTTCCTTTAGATTCTGCAATCTACAATGTAGATTGCAGAATCTGTCTTGAGAGATTAGGTCTGGTTCAACCGAACTCAAGTTCGTTTGCCCCCTAAGTGCGGTTCGTTTGGGCAGGTGTGAACACAGCAATCACACTCAGGTGCACACCAGAATAACCAGACCAGGACCCTCTTGAAGAGGTGGTCTCAGTCTGGTTACAAACGAACTCTGGTGCGGTTCGTTTGTGGTGAAAACGTGTTCTGACCTCGATCTGAACCAACTGCAGTCATATGACACATTGTTTGGGTTAAACATGAGCATGTTACAGTCCTGGAGGATTATTAATGTGCACCTCCTCCTGTACTGCCTTAATATGCGCATTCAGCACATCCAATGTATCAAAACATTGTTTTCTAGTTGGAGCCGCGCCTCGTTTTCAAACTGTATGGTTTAACTAAAATGAACAATGACAGCAATATAGTCCACGATGAGCAGCGCTAAAATCAACCTGCGTAGTTGTCCCTCCATTGTGACATTAGAAAGTGTCACATTTATCTTGTAAGTGTACTCTTCTTCAACGTTTTGTTTACTTCCTGGATTTTTCCCACATGGAAATTCTGACCAATCAAGAGCAGCTTTCTCGCAAAGGTATTTAACTGGTCTGCCAACTCTAGGAAATTACGCAACTTTATAGCAAAATAAGTCCCTGATTCAGACCGAAGAAAGCGAACTCTCAGTCTGAAAGCACCCTATCATGCTAGCTGTACATTGAGGCCTAAAGGCTTATTCCAGGCTATACAGCCTAAAACAGGTAATGCTTGTACTCGTGGTTAAGTTCAGTTGATCTACATTTAAATTTAAAGTTATATCTCTCAAAGTTGCCTTAGAAAGACAGATTTCAGACACTGAGAAAAGAGCTAATTGGACCACCGTGATAACGACTGTAGTCTCTGGAGTGTCTGCTCGCTCACCTTTAGTGGTCTCACTCTCCCTCACCAGGAAGGTTCCTCGTCTGTTCTGTAAGTTCAGAAGGTGCCTCTCGGAGTCGCGCCGAGTGATCTTCCCAAAATACCACCTGCCAAAGTGGGCCACGGAGAATAAGATGAGAAGAAAGCTACAACTGACGGTCTGGAGCAGACAGCAGGCAGACATACTTTCTGACTGGAAATACAGAGGACTGTACTGGATGGTACATTGGAAAGAGATACTCTCTCTATACTCTTTGCATTAGTTTGTAGAAGTAGATACAGCACAGAAAATAAATACAGCTACATTCAGGCTTTGCACTACTAAAATAACTGCAAGAGTGAAACAAGGAGAGAATAATGTACTCTTCTGCTTGGATGGAGTCGGACGGAGCCACATAGTTGCTAGGGATATATCCACTCTCTCCTGTCGTCAGGGAGCGAGCGAGCCACCAGTCCCCTTCTCTGTGACAGAGAGATAAAGACAGAGAAAGAGAGCAAGAGAGTCAACCATAAACAGAAAACTGACTGAGGCAACCACAACGTTTCTTGGTTTAATGATCTTTTATTTGATGGAGGAAGAAGTCTGCATTTCTCTTATCGTCAACAAACGTTGCTATCAGTGACTCTCAGCCCAAAGCCCACTGGTTCCTACTGAAGACGTACATGTTTAAAAATGGGTCAAAGATATATAGGTTCAATTTAATGATTTCCTAAAACAGCTGGGCAAACATGAGTACATTATGTACTCATTAGGGACTATTTTCAGCTGTGGATGAATACATTTTATACACCAAAGGGTATTCATGGAAGGAAGGTGAATGTGGGACTGACTCAAAATAAACTACAGTGCCCACTTTCATCTTAATGAAGGAATATATCAACCAGTGCAACAGTGTGACTCGTGTTTTTATAGTTTTTAGACAACAGTGGAGGTCCGTCACACAGAGGAATACGCTAAATTAGGCGTTGGCTCTGCAGATAATACTTGGTAGCTGGATAGATTTCTCTTTGGTTTTGGAATATTTTGCCAATTAGAAAAATATGGATCACCATCAGACTTATCCATTCAATACAGAGTCTGCAGTACAGGATGCTTCAGATGGTCTCTTATGCCTCATTTCCACTGCATGGTTCAACTCAACTCACTTTGGTACCAGGTCCTTTTCTCTATAGCCCCTTTCACACATGCACTGCAAACCTCAAATGATGTAGACATCAACTGGAGGAGCTGTATTTGAGGATTCAAATGTCCGAATCAGCTGGATCGGCCATTGAACGAATTTTACTCTACCAGCTCCCTAGAGTAACTGTCTGCAGAATACACAACGAGCAAGTGTGCAGGATGATGATGTTTCCATCATGCGGCTCGTGCGAAACTGGAAGAAAACAAACATCTGAGGGTGAAGACAAAAGCCGCTTTTACACTGCTGGATTTTCCGTGAATGTTGGGCCCTTTTGCCGGCAAGCTGTGAGCATTTAGACGCACAGAGCCGAATTGGCGAGTTGATCTGAGATGCCCAAGTTTCTGCCTCGTAGGGTAGACATATTGGCGGAACTTTTTTGGTTTAAAAAGACAGAGGCGCCCTTCTGCCACGGGAGGGGCTATTGAAGACTTGTGGGAGGAGCTGGTGATGACGCCGCACATGCCACCCACTGGCGGTGGATAAACAGGAAACAGCTGATAGCAGGAATTAGCGAGAAGCTAGTAGCAAGAGGGAAACGCAAACTTGACAGACACTGTAAAGATGAGCAAGTGGGGAGACAAGGAATTGCGCGGCCTCGCAAACGAAGAGGCCATTAACCGTCAGATGACAGGGACTGTAAAGAACGGGCCGACTTATGAGAGAATCTCCGAAGGACTGACCAGCCGCGGCTTCCCTCCCACGTCACTGTTTACGTCACATGCTGAGCTACACGTTTTGTTACTTGCTCATGCCCTCCATTCCCCCGAAAAAGGCGCATTCTGTATTCCTGCAAATTTGCACAATTCCTATTTAAAAAGGACTGAAGGGCCATTTTCACAAAGACGGCAGTAAAAAATGTCCAACTGGAGAGATGATGAGATTCTGGAACTTTCGTCTGTAAAAGATGAAGCCAAAATCGTTACACTAATTTAAGAAATGAAAAGTATCAGGTGCTATCTGCAACTTTCACAAATGAAAAACCAAAAACAGCGAGACCAGTTGAGTAGAGCCATGCGGTACCATGCAGTGGAAATGCAGTATTAGTAAAACGGTCTACTTGTGATACGTATTGAAACTTCCACTGTTTCACTGACGCCCCTCGATGTTCTTTGGAAAGCAAAGAGGAAGCTGAGGTTTTAATAAAAAATACACATCTCATCCCACACTTGAGTGCACAGAGTGAAGAAAAGCACATTGTTAAAAGAAGAAATAGACAAATGCAACCTTTTGTTCCACTTGTAGTCCCTTTGTTTAAATTCAATACTTTAAATGTCCAGTGTGTAGAATTTAGTGGCATCTAGTGGTGAGGTTGCAGAACTGAGCGTGTAGAACTATGGTGGCCGACACGACAATGCAAGTGGCCCTATCTCGAGCCAGTGATTTGTCTGTTGTGGGCTACTGGACGACATGGCGGACTCCGGGGAAGAGGATCTGTTACATATGCGGATACAAACGGCTCATTCTTAGGTAATAAAAACACAATGATTCTTATTTTCAGGTGATTACACACTAATGAAAACATAGTGATGAATTTTAAAAATAATATCTGCCTGAATCCTTCACACTGGACCTTGAACTTCTGCTCTATATAGAGCAACATACAATATGCTACTTCACAAACAAGTAAGAGCACCAGATAAATCTGCATCTCTAATGCTTACTAATTCATTGATGTTACACTACAGGCTTGATCAGACGAGCCTGTGGAGCAGCAAAGGGACGGTGAACAAAAGGCTGCATGAGACTTTTTTTATTGCATTAAGTATTACTGACCTGAAGCTGTACTTTTTCCTAGGAGAAACCATGAAGCATGAGAGAGAGAAAGAGAGAGGGAGAGATAACAGACACAGCAGACACATCAAAACACAGCGAGGAGACACAGCAAGGCAAGCAGCACAGCACAGACAGATAGCAGAGGAGCTGGATATGCTGTGGGACTACACAGTGGGGTTACACAAGCTGCGCTGCCTTTTAAAGTCTTGGGTTCAACTTTACATTTCAGTGCAGTTCGTAGCATGTTTAATAATTCTACAAGAGAGGAATGCAGAGATAAATCCCATTTACTATCCATAAATGATCACATCCTCGTATCATATTGGATTTCTGGATTCACTTTATATTCTTTTTATTCAGTGTTTGCATTTAAAATGTGAATAAAAAACTCTGTGCACCGAATGCAGGAACAGTTCCATGGTGCAATATTAATGTTAAGGGGACCTATTATGCTTTTCCTTATTTTCTGTCATATACAGTGGTGGAAAAAAGTTTTCGGACACCCTTAAAATTTTACACAATCTCAAATATTATCATGAAATATTTGTAGAAAAATCTTTCTTGTGTTTCAAAAGGTGTGGCTGCATTAGACAGATACAAACAAATACAAATTATATTTTTTTGTTTATTGTTTACAAGAAAAACTAACAAAACTAAATTCTTGACAGTTTCAATATGTCAGTTCTCAACATTGTCGGTATCACAGTCAACAAATAACAGAGAATGTGTTCAAAACTGAACAAAAAATAAATAAACCATCACATCATCAAATTAATATTTAGTAGTCCTGCCATTGGCACGTAGTAGAGCTCTAATCCTGGCTGGCATGTTCCCCACGAGCCTTTCACACTGTTGAGGGGTTATCTTGTCCCATTCTTCTTGAATTACTGCTTTTAATTGGGGATTGAGCTGGCCACTCTAAGACCTGGATACTGTGCTCCTGCAGCCAAGTTCTACTGGCCTTGGATGTGTGGCAAGGGGCATTTTCTTGTTGAAACATCCAGTTTTTACCTCGACGGAACAGTGCACGCGCAGAAGGGAGCATGTGGGTTTCGAGAATGGTACAATACTTGGTAGAGTTCAGTGTGCCATCACAGACAGTGAGATGACCAACACCAGCAGCACTCATGCATCCCCAAACCATGATACTGCCTCCACCATGCTTGACAGTAGGTACTGTACATGCTGGAGATAATGCTTCGCCTGGCCTTCTGCGTACCCTCACATTAGTAGGAGGAAGATAAAGCTGGAAACTGGACTCATCTGACCACAAAATCTTCTTCCAGTTCCTGGCTGTCCAGTTCTTGTGTGCCTGGGCCCAACGACGCCGGGCTAACCTCTGTCTCTCATTGATCAGGGGCTTCTTGATAGCCTTGTAGGACCTTAAGCCATGATCTAAAAGTCGGCCATGTACAGTGCGGGTGGAACACTGGACACCAGTTTGGTTTGACCACTGCTGCTGAAGCTCCTGTGATGTCATTCGGCGGTTTTGCCTGCACATGCGGATCAGGATGCGGTCATTTCTTGCTTAAGAAACCCTTGGACGCCCAGATCTTGGTTTGTCTTCCAAGCTGTTGGTTCGTCTGTATTTCTGCAGAGTGTATCCAACTGCTGAAGGACTGCATCTGCACTTCCTGGCTATCTGGCGGCAGCTGTACCCTTCCTGGCTGAGAATCTTTATCTTCAGGCGTGTTTCCTGCGTTAGGTTCCTTGTTTTAGCCATTTTTGTGTCTGAAGAACTTTCAAATGTGCTGGCTTTATGTAGACACAAAGCTTGGCAACAAAAATTGTGTCTTTTAATAAAAAGAACGACCTTCATCACTGGTACCAAAATGACCCAATACTCAAAATTTCTTATGTATTTTTATGGAACCAATCAATTTTAAGTTTTTAATTTTTTAGGATTTATTTAGTATTTTGGCTGTGACTGTACTAAAAGAAATTGCACTTGAAGACCTAAGAGTGATTCTTAATGCAATATTTCACAAATGCATGGGGTGTCCGAAAACTTTTTTCCACCACTGTATATGATGTTACACAGTTGGATGTTCACATTGGTCGTGGCCAAAGTTTCAAATAATGAGGTAATCGTGTTTAAGTAATCCCTGTGAGCAAAAACCTCAGGCTCCTGAATACTTGTTTCCTATTTTGGCTACCAGCTGATGTCAGCTCGTCACAGATTTCTTTATATGGTCATCTGCTCCAGGGATGCTTTTAGCTGTTTGTATTACATAGCCTACACTGCGACATGTAGCTACCAGAGTTCTCAATAGGCCAAAGAAGTTACAACCCGAACTGAACCGACCCATGTGAGCTGAAGCCTGAACCCGGCCCGTTCTAGATCATCACATAAAATACTGAGCCCGAGCACGTCCAAGCATAACCCCCCCAAAAAGCACTAGTCTGCTTCTAATGCCTGCAATACACTGGCTGTGTGGCAGCGCGGGCCAGGCCTGTCTCCAGCGGAAAATGGATCAGCTTTGGTGGATCATCAAATCTCCACACTGCGTTTTCCCACCAGAGAAGCTCCCTGCTGTGGTCGGGAGGCAGGCCAGAGAGCCCAAAACGGAGCCTGGCTGCTCTCTCCCATCACAAGAGACCGCCTTATATTCACCTTTGTCTAACTTCGACGTAGTTATTACCACCTCCATTGTCTCTCTGACCTTGTTGATAGTGACGGTGACACTAACAGCAACCCCAACCCCTCTGTTATTTCAATAGGCCATTCATTGGTCAAAAGCCACCAGAAAAGAAACCAGCCAATAAAAACAGGAGATGATTTCTATGAATCAATTAGTAAATCAATCTATAATATCTATAATACATGTTGGATTTACATTTCAAATACACAATTTAAAAAAAAAAAGAAGTATATACATTTTTTTGTCCTCACAGCCTGAACCCTACCTGACCTGGCTAACCAGCACACAATTTTCGCCCGATAATGGGGCTTTCTGGGAACTGTCGGGCTCGGGTTGAAATTGAGAACTCTAGTAGCTACATGCTAACATCAGAAAAACCTGTCATTTTTTTGTTGCTGATGTTAATTTCTCCCTGATTTTCAGATCAGATTCTTGCTGGAACATGTCCACTTGTGATAAGAAGCTTTTACAGGTGATTTTTCATGGTAGAAAGTCATTCTCGGCTACAGTGACGCAAGCGCAAAGACGCCAAGATACAGAAGACCTGGAAACGCTAAACAATGGGCTTTTTCAGGAGGGGGGCTTAGAGAGACAGGTGTTAAAATGGAGCATTTCAGACAGAGGGTGAATACAGTATGAGGAAAATAAAGTGGTTTTTGACCTTTAAAGCATGTAAACATGTTCTAGTTGAAACCCAAAATACAAGTATAACCCTGAAAATAAGCATAATAGGTTCTCTTTAATATGTGTTTATCATATATTTCAGCCCTACTATGTAGTGCCAGACTATAGATAAAAGAACAGCAGACCAAACTTGTGACAGGAAGTTATGGAAAGATCTCATAAGAAAAGAAAAACAAAAAACATTGTTCTGATTTTAAACACCTGCGTAGGAATTATTCTCTGGGAAACAGCGGCTTTAAAATTCACATATCTTCCTTCACTTCCTGTGACTGAAATCTACATTCCATCTAAATCGCACCTCGATGCAGACGAACTTCAACATGTGTTGGTGTCCGACAGGAAAACACATTTTTTTGGCGTTATGTGTGTGAAGAAAAGGGATGAGTGTCACGATCTCGCTATGTCACACTCTCTATAAAGTGTTTTTAAGACGAGGATGATGACAGTCGCCCAAAAGGAACAGAATGCATTAGTAAAGTGCCGTTCTGCTGTGTTTCAGTCAACAGATGGAGAGGACCAGACTCGGCTGTCTGCGTCGCTCCACAGTTACCAGCTCGGACTGTGTTCATTCATTTTCACATTTGTGCACACTCGCGCTCACGCGTGCGTCTACAAATCTGTTCATTTAGATTTTTTTGTGAAATTGTGGCATCAGAGAGAGAGAGGGAGAGGCTGTTGATTCTTACGTGTTGTTGACAATCTGCAGCCTGTCGCCTTTCCTAAAGGTCAGATCAGATGCTGTCCGTGACTCATAGTCATACAGCGCCACAAATGTAGTGACACCTCCTGCAAAAAATAACACACACAGAAATACACATTTAGGGAACAGTGTAATTAAAGATAACGGTACTTCCCATTAAGATCTATTCACATTCACTTCCATAATCTAACTTCAATAGTACAGGTCAGGCCCTGGATGTTAATTTGCTCTATGTTCTTCAAGGCCATAAATCTTCAGTATATTTTCCTCTGCTCCATATCTGTATGAAACAATTTACCAAGGCTTAATGAGAAATATCGACATTCAGACTGCTTGTGGACGATCACCCGTGAAGGACAAAGCCATCATACCAAAAGCTTTCTATATTCTGTGCAGTTTTCTGCCGCTTCCTTTTAATGAACCAGTGATCTAAACCTGGGGACTCTCCAGCCAATCATCGATCGGCTCATTAGATGCACAGGAGGAGGCGGCCAGCACATACACCAGCAGCCCTCCACTCTCTGGATGGAGCAACATTAACCTAACCATCTGGCCAGTCTAGACACATTGCAGCTTAATGTCAAGTAAAAATCTGGACAGCGAGGCACGGCGGGCTTCAAAGTCAAAGAGAGGGTTTTAAGTGTGTTTGACAGCTGATGGTGGGAAAACGGAAATATTTTTCTGAGGACATATGACTCACTGTGAGTCAGTTTTTAGATTTTTTTTTTTTTCAGGACTTTTGTGATCTCAAACTGAAAGCAAGTCAGGGCTGACTGGGCTGACTCATGGAGAAACCAGATCTCATTAAATCTGTTTCTATTCTGCAGTTCTGCTCGGCTTCATAACTTTATTTACATTAATCTCTTTGTAGACTGTTTTGTGTGTTCTCTGGTCATGCAAGATTACTGTGTTACTCACATTTAAAGGGGCTCTGTGCCATATTCAGAACATATGCGTTGTTAGTTCTCAACATGGAGGTGAGTGAGCTGGCAGCTAGCAGCTAACAGTGCCAACTGTATAAACAACAGCAACAGTGCTGACAGAGCTAACAGCTTATAACTGGGGTGAGTGGGTGCTTCATATCATAGCTCAATATTTTGGGAAATACAATCATTATACTTCTTTCTGAGAGTCAGATGAGAAGATAGATACCACTCACATATCTGTCTGTTAGATATGAAGCTGGAGCCAGGATATCGTTAGCTTAGCATAAAGAGCAGGGCTGGGTATCGCCACTGATTTCCTGAATTGATTCAAATTTGATTCACAAGGTCCCGATTGTTGTCATCAGCTCAAATTAACTTCACTTCTCTGGCTCCACAGCAGCATCTCTACTTTGTGTTTGTGTGTCTGAGTGCGTAAAAGTGGCGCAGCAGCCCCAACGCACAGACAGCAGGAGGAGCGGCTGCTGCAGCATGATAATCAATGACATCAAAATAAAAAAGCTCAATTCTATGGTAACTAAAATTTCAGCGGCACCCATTAACTGCCGACGAGTTTAACAGGGTCAAGGCTTCACGCATCCATGAAAAAAGTGTACATTAAAGCATCGATCTCGGATTTTATAAATCTATATCTGGCCATTCAAATGAACATCCATCTGAAGTGGATGAATCGATTATTTTAACCCAGCCCTAATAAAGAGAAAATGGGTTAACAACAAAATCTGCCTACCAGCACCTCTAAAAGTCACTATTCATACAGGGAGGTCATGTGCAGGACTATTTCTTGGCACTTGTCTCAGTGCGGTTGCAAAACTACCAGCAAAAGGGTCCTGGAAGTCGCTGCACCCGGCCAAAAAATAACAGGTGCTTCAGTTTCGTATAAACTTTAAAAATGAGATATTGTGCTAGGGGGAACCAGCTAGCCTTGTTCTGTCCAAAGGTAACAAATCTGCCTGTTTCCAGTCTTTATGCTAAGCTAAGCTAATCATCTGCTAGCTGTAGCATGTCATGGTGAACATACAAACATAACAGAGGTATTGATCTTCTCATCTGTAAGTGTAACATTCCCTACTTTTTAATTGCTTTAAAAAACAGTTTAAAAGACAGTTTGGGTCACTACCTGAAACATAAAACTCAAGAATAAATCTTATGTCATAGACCTTTAATCTAATCTGTCTCACAGAGTGTTTCCCACCTGACAGAGGTCCTCTCTGGGGCGAGGTGATAGTGCCTGTGTGGTCCACCCCTCCAAAGAGAGCCAGCTCAGGAGTGTTTGTCGGGGCGAGCTGGTGCTGCCCTTGATGCCCCCGCCTGCCTGTCCCCACCGCAGGGCTCCTGTTGGGGGTTTGGGTCTGCTGGGCGGGGCCCAGGTGGTGGAAGTGCCCGCTGTCCGAGCCTGTGCCGATGGTGCCATCCAGGCTCATGGAGCGCTGGCCCGGCTCCTTGGGCTTGCTTTTGCCCGCCCCCATGTGCAGACCTGGGAAGAGAGCCAGCGATGAGTAAGAATGCAGCACTGTAAGTCCCAAGAGATTTAAAAAAAAAGGCCTCTTCTGGGCAGCCGGAGCTACTTGTTGTAATATGCCAAATAGGATTTAAACAACTAATAAATGAGTCGATCTACGGAAAATGACGTCAAATATCTTAATTATAATTTCTGTTTTCTGTTTCTGTCTTATATGTTTGTAAACTGAATATCTTTGGGGATTGGAGTGCAAGTCAGACAAAACAAGACATTTGAAGACCTCACCTTGAATGGGCATTTTATGCTTTTTTAAACATTTTAGTAACTAATCATAAAAAATAACAGATAAAACAATAATGAAAACAATTATTAGTAATAGTTGCAGACCTGACAGTCTCGGGGAGTGCCAATATTTCAGGCTGACTGACTGTGTGAGCCAAGACTTACTCTTTTGTGTGCTGGTCATTTCGGCTGTAAACAGATATTTGCATATGAATGCAGATACATTTTATTCAGCAATGCACTTTTTACCTTTTACTTCTTCAAATAAAATGTGGTTCTAGACTCTGAGAAAACTCTGCTAACCTCTGCCATCACATAAAACTCAGGTCTACTTTCATCCTGGCAGCAGTGACGTGGCGCAGAGGAAGGGCATGTGGATGTCAACTTAATCTTAAAGTCATATTAAAATTTAAATCAAGACATAAATCCTGTTCAATAAGGAAACATTAAGTCAAACTAATGAAAAAAAATCTTGAATTAAGCAGCCCTTCATTTATAGACACTTTTACTCCTCTGAAACCAGAGCAAATTGGCTTGATTACTTTCAAACACGTGACGAAAGCAATGAGCAATGAAAGAAGAAATAACTCAAAAAATTTGCAAGAACTTAGGAAAAAGAGAAAATTAAAAACAATGAAGTTAATTTTAAAAAAAAGAAAGCTAAAACAAACAAGCAAATAAGAAAATTACCTGGAAAGTGCTTAAATGTGTAATGATAATACTTACAAATATAATTTTCCCTAGCTTCCCTAGCCCATTGCCTTTTCCCCATGTTTTTGAAAGAAATCGCACCACTTTGCTCAGAGTTCAAAGGTTTAAATACTTGCGAAAGACGTCTGAAAACAGCACAAGAAAAGTGATGTCGCTCCAGGTTTCAGAGGGTTAATAAACACTGTCCTGTCTGGAGATGAGACCTGGTGACTAAAAACACATCTCCAGTTCATTCAGGAACAGGTTCTGACCCCGTTTCACTTTCTATTCATTCACCTTTCTCAAATGAAAATTCCTCTCAGCAGCAGTGTGTGTGCTCTGAGCGTCACATTCATCTCTGCTCGCCACAGAGAATCCTTGGAGCTGTTCCAGGTTCAGTTAAAACCGTTTAGCATGCAAATACTCTGAGATCAGGGCACCTTGAAACAGCCAATACACATACATTCAAGGTCATTCCTATCTGTTGATTCAATCTGTTCTGAATCAATAAGCAACTACAAAGGATAACAAACAAAGGAGCAGTGGGCTCTAATGAAACCGAGTGCTAACGCCGATGAGTTGACAAGGACAGAAACAGTTTCACCTCCTACAGGTAATTATAAGCGCCACTTCTCCTCTCCATCCTGACGCAGAATACATCTATTATGGCCCGATAAATGCAACAAGAGCAAGCTGTCGTCGTGAGCGCAGACAAAGACAAACATGCTCAGACAGTCAAATGCACCCACAGAAAGTTGGAGTGCCGTGTTCACACACCAAGTCCACCCCTCGAGGCATTGCAGAGTGACTCACTGTGAGACCGGCTATTTCAGGCCGGCTGAAACAGAGACAGTCATACACACATGAAACAGCCTTGTTCCTTTGTGAATAGAGGCACTCTCAGTTCCAGACAGAGTGTTTGTGCCGTGTGTGTGTGTGTGTGTGCGTGAGCAGCTGTTACTTGGTCTCTGGGAAACGAGGCTCTATCGCACAGTAACACCCAACCACGGTTGCGTCTCACATCCTTTTTTCCAACACATGCATGTATCCGCGTGTTTCCAGCACAGTTGTGAGAGTCTGATAGACAGGACAGAGAGGGTTATTAACAGACAAGGAGGAAGGAACTGGCAGTGGCTGTAAAAAGAACGTGTAGGTGGCTGTTGTGTACTGCATGGACAGCTGAGGCTTAGTGGGTGTTTTAAGTGTAATGTGCGAGCATAACATAATTACACAGGTATGGGGAAAACTCAAAGATATGGAAGGATCTCACTGTGGAGCTGTGTGGGCGTGTAAGCCGCTGAGTGTGTGCACAAGCATGAGCAATTTCAAGCACACACGTACGGTCATGCAAGCTTTGATTCAACTCATGCCAGGATGTAATCTGGCGCGCTGGGGGGTTAACGTATCCCATGGTGCAACACTGAGTCACACAGAGATGGGCCCATGGGCCTGCAGGAGAGAGGTGGACAGGACTGTGTGAATTGTGTGGAGAATAAACTGCTCGATTTAGACAACTAGTTCAGATATCAGTGACGGACTGCTGCCTCAAAAATCTACCAGAAACACTAAGATGCTTTAAAGGACAAAACATAAGCAGAATGAGGGGACAGGACCGCGACAGATCAAATTTCTTAGATTCTAAAGAATAATGAAGGCACTTATGCAACAGATATATTTAGCAGTCCACGTAGTCTATATATGCAAACAGGCACATACTTGAGGCGCTCGAATCCACGCAAAAGCTACTGTGAGATGATCTGACTGATTGATTGATTGATTTAGTGTTGGAGATATCGGCCAAAGAGGTGCCTGCCTTCTCTCAAATATAATGGAACTACATGGCACTTGGCTTGTGGTGCTCAAAGATAATCCGCAGACCTTGTTGAGAGCAGTTTCATGCAGGAACTACTTTCTTTCTACCGAACTACACCTGCCACCCAGATCACCACGCAGCAGGAAGAGTGCATCTACTCATGGCCGAGAGGCTTGCGGCAGTGTGAGATCTAAACATTAATGGCGTCCTCCTCGGCTGAGCTCAGTGGTGCTAGGTGAGCTAGCAGTAGATGCACGCTTCCTTCTGCGCAGTGATACATTTGGTGGGTGTAGTTCGGCAGAAAGAAAATACTCCCTACATAAAACTGCTCATATTAAGGCCTGTGGATTATTATTATTATTATGAGTAACTGGGTCATGATTTCCGAAGAGAGACATTGCTGTTAAGTTTTACAAATGTATTTTTTGGACCTTTGGGCACCACAAGCTGAGATCCATCTAGTTCCATTATATTTAAGAGAAGGCAGACATCTCTACGGCTGATATCTCCACCACTCTGAAACACATACCAAAACAACCTAGACTGATAAATCACACTACAGGTAAGACGAAAAATATGTATTTTTGGTTTTGAAGTGACCAGTCCCTTTAAGCATTAAATCCAAACAACTTCACCTGCTCCTGTTATACACGTCTCTTAAAATTTAGACGCTGGATGTCACATTACTTCAGCTTGACTACAGAAGCGAGGCCTTCCAGAAAGGTTTCTCAGGCTCTAGCTGGAGATCTCAGTCATCAGTGGACTGAAGCTTGAGCACCTGAACTACAGCACAGCCCATAGAAGCACAATGCTTTAAGAGTGGATTAAAGGGCAAAGATGATACAGCAAAAAATAACAGCAGAGTTTGTTCAGTAACTTCTCTCAGATGGGTCTGGGAAATTTCACTGTCAGTATCCAAACTCATGGCAGTTCTACAAAGTTAAACTAAGCAGTGAGAGCTACATACTGTTATTAAAATGACAAAAGTCTAAAGTTGGATTTAGTGCAGTACGAACTTTCAATTAGGAAAAGTGCCTGAACACACACTGATAAGCCGAGGTAATGATCCTCGACCGGCACTGCGAATAATACAGTGATGGCAGCAACCATGTCCTATGGGAGTCACTCTCCCCTGGTGCCTCCAGGACACTGCAAACACCCTTGAAAGCCTCAGAGCCTGCGTATGTAAACAGCAGAGCTAGCACTGTGGCTGAACCTCACACCTTTTCCTAATATGGTGCCTTAAAACCAAGAACTGTCAACATGTGACTACTTCCAACATTATGATGTAAAATGGAGGAGCAAAGAGGATGAAGTGAAGGAAGAACAAAGTGCACTGGACAGATAGAAGTACTAACAGGTAGAAAATAATGTATTGTAATAATGTAAGTCCTACACAGATGGAAAAATAAAATATGAAAAAATATGAGGAATGGGAGATGAGATATTTTATTCCCTTGTGAGCTTTTCCATTCAACAGGAGCACAGAGGAATGTGGGAGAACCAGACTGCACCACACTGCTGTGCCTGCCAGAGACTGCAACAAGAACAGGCACCTGAGCAGTAGGAGGGCAGGCTGGGAGGAAGGAAGCAAGGAAGCAAGGAGCGGGCGGTGGAGGGCGGGAACGTAAATCAAAATCTACTCTTTATTTGCTCTTAATTCAAAGCAGTATAAGCTGCATTTCTGATATGAATGAGTGCAACATGTGGTTTCATAATGCCAGGAAAGTGGAAATAAATGCACAGACATGCTGACTGTGCGAGTAAAGTTTTGCCTGGTTGTGTTGTGGGAAAGAAGATTTGAGGGATTAGATATGAATCATAGCAAATAGAGGCTTCGTTCTCAGGCGGCTCTCTAAGGGGTATTTACCTCCAAACCATGATTGAGTTCAAGAGCGCTTCAATTTCCTCGGCGCATTTATCACTAACCTGCGTCTTTCTCACAGTCGCAGTGTTGACGGAGTCTCACAAAATCTATAAAACTATCTGTACATGGACTGAATAATGTGGGGAAAGTGAAAGAAAGTAAAGGAGGAGAGCTCAGATGTCTTCAAGGAATTTAAGTTGGACAAGCAGACAAGTCCAAACACCTGTGAGGTACTGAGACTGCATCACATCAGCGTCCACACAGCCAGTGTTTTCATTATGAGCGGTTTGCACATGTGCTCCAATCTCTCAAGACTGTCTTAAAATAACACTCACATGCACATATCATGTACAGTGAAACCATTTTTGGTTGCTGTAACTATTCCTCCAGCTCCATACGGGCCACTGAGAGACTTCCTCTTGAAGGGAAACGTTGGTATGTTTCAACGTGGACCCTATTTTCCCATGTTTTGTGTCTAAGTGACTTATGGAGACAATCTGTTTTTTTAATTGGTACAGTACTGCAGCAGCGAAACAGGCTAAAATGTAACCGTTTGGGTGCACAATCAAGATTCAAGATTATTATTGTCCCATAGAGTGGGAAATATGTCTAGGGCCCTACTCCCATACTGCCACCATAGAAATACAACATAGTACATAAAGGAATCAACATTATACCCAACGTAGCAATAGCGAACACAAAAAGAGAAATTAATAAATAACATCATGTGCTAAAAATACCTCTATAAAAATGCAAATCAGCGAATAGTCATAATCCATTGCCAGATCTGGCTCTATCTGCCATTGTTTAAAAGCTTTATGGACAGAAATATGACTGAATCTTTTAAAAAGTCAACTGAAAGTGTTTGTTTTTGCCACTGAGAGGCTCAGATTGTAAGTGTCTATACCTTTCGCTTGATCCGGTCCGTTTGTTATTGTGTGTAACCAAGTCTCGCTCAAGTACAAGTCTTGCTAGCTCTTGAAATCTCCCAAGAAGTGACTTGTTGCAGGAAGACAACAATAGAAACATTAGTGAGAAGAGGGGCAAGGAGTGCTTGAGTAGGGGAGTTTGTTGTGTTGGAGAACAGAAAGTGTAGCGTAGTGTTATCTACAAGATTTTCAATGTCATGGTGGTTTATTTATCTGATCTCGACAGTGTGGAAAAGAGTCCATGAGACATCTGATGAGATCAGAAGGAGACTTCTCTTTGAGTGAGACTTGGTTACACACAATAACAAACAGTTTCACTTCTCAGTAGGGATTCTTTCCATAATGTTGTCAGACAATTATAATAATCATCAGAGCACACCAGTGGCAAAAACAAGCACTTTTAGTGGACGAAAACTGATGGTGGCAAATGCTCCTAATGATTACATTACAGCTTGTTTCACTGCTGCCAGCTGCAGCGCTCTCTCACTACTGGACCAACTAAAAAAAATAGTTGTCACCACTGGTCACTTAGACAGAAAAACATGGGAAAGTAGGGTCCGCGTTGAAATATACTAAAGTTTAGCATGATTCCAATGTCATAGAGGTCAAAATCCAAACATACTGGATGGACTGCCATGAAAATTTGTACAGACGTTCATGGTTACCACGTGATGAATCCTACTGATTTTAGCGATACCCTGACTTTTCCACTATCGCCACCTTGATGCTGACATTTGTGGTTTACACTGAAATTTCTCGACAACTAAATATTGGAAGCATCGTCATAAAATGTTGTACATTCATGCTCCCCTCAGGATGAATTATAACCCCCTGACTTCTTTATCGAATGCAATCATCAAGTCAAAATGTTAAATCTGGCTGACTCGTAGTCCCTCTTTAACATTCTGTCCCTCCATCACAGCTCAACAAGGAGCCTTTGTTTGGGGACACAATGAGGGTACTAAAATGACTGTGGAGGATACTGACTTCATTAGACGAACTCAGACTGGCTTCAGATCTTAAGACTTAATGTATTTTGTAGAGAACGAGGACTGTGGATTGTCTCTGACATTGGGGTTACGTCACTATGGACAGTAGCAACCAAAGGGTTGGATAAAAGAGAGGCTGTTAGTATGAAAACAAAATATATGTCCCTTTCTTTTAAATCCTTGATATACAGGTGAATATTGTGCAGCTTTACTTCAGGCCTACTAATTACCTGCACATTGTTTTGTGGAGAAAATCAAGTTGCTGGTTTCTAATTTCATTGTAACTGATTAAACAACTAGCACAGATATTAAAGTTCCCTAAATAGAGCAATTTGATGCACAAGATAATGTTCCAAAGTGCTACGTTTAGGTACGACTAACATTTGATTCCGCACAGGTTCCAACGGCACGCAGAACTGAACTCTTTCTCACATTTCAGCTGCCTAATCAGCATTTGTAATCCTCCATCTGAAGCTGAGCACACAAGCTGTACGTTTCTGGTCAGGCACATAAGCACATTTGGCCATGACAAACCGTACTGAGTCACAACAGACGGTAACAGTTGCCACCGTGCTGCAGAGAGTGAAGGAGCTCGAGCCAATGTTTCAGTCGAATGGGAAAATTACAGTTTGCCCTGGGGAGGAGCAGCGAGCGAGGGAGGGAGGGAGAAAGGGAGGGAGACAATGATGGTTCCTCAAGATCAAAACAAGAGGAAATGTGCACATTAGCATCACTGTCCAACCCTGCTATATAATAACATGAAACAGCGCAGTCCACATATATAATACACAGATTATGTATATATAGCCTGGGCTGGCGAGGGAGAGGGCAGTTGCTTTAAAGACAGCTAAAGAAAAGACAATGCAGTCACGTAACTATCAAGTCTCACCCCATTTTAGCACTGTGGACGCCTCCATCAGTTATTCTCTGTTATCTTTCCCCCAAATCTTTTCCTGACCCCACTCGTTTCGCAAAGTCTGCGCCCGTGTCTGGCTGTCCCATCTCATCTCCCCTCTTCCTCAGTGAGAAAAACACAGAGGCTAAAAGAAGAAGGAAGAGGAGGAGAGGGGGACTGTGGCACTCAGCTGATAAAACCCACTTCCGTTTTCTGTCCATCTTTAACTGGAGGCTCTGGTGGCAAGTGATCCAGGCTGTGAGGGAATAGCTACTAGCGACTCCATAAAAGAGGGCAAAGGGTGGGAAAAGGACATGACGGCTGTTTCATTAGAGAGCTGCCATGCTCTTAGCAAATTATTAACTATACAAATAAAGCCTTCATTCTCAACTTAGTTTACAGTCTTTATGATTTACGGATGATTTACAGGATATTGACATAAACTCCCACCAATCATGCTGGCCAGTGATACTCAACTTGTGGACTGTGCGTCAAATCTGGCCTGTGACAGGGCGCCAGTGGCCCACAAACCATTTTCTAATTCACAATGAATATAAACTGATTCACGCTGAGATATTTTTTATACTTTTAATGTAAATACGGTGCCAGAGTGGATTTAAAAAAGCATCAAATTAGGGCTTGTTTATTTAAAAAATTGCCAATTGAGGATCCCTCTGACCCCTGGACAGAGGCTCAGGCTCATTTATTAATGTTTTTTTTTTATTAACTGGTCTTTGCCCCCCTGTCATTGTGCAGAAGTGGCAATACGCAAGTGTGGGCTACATATTCTTTTAATGTGCTCTGACAGAACCAGGATCACAGCTACAACAAATAGGCGATTAATCCCCAAGTCCATCAAAAGACAAATAATCAGCAACATTTTTGATAAACGATCCATCACATAATACGTTTTTGAAGGAAGAATCGCAAAATCCAGCTCCTAGATTGCTCATGTTTCGTAGTTTTCTTTGTCTTCTATGATAGTAAATGAAATATATTTGGGTTGCTGACTAGCCTGTGAAGATGTAACCTTGGGCTTTGTGAGTATTTTCCAATAACTGCTGATATTTATAGACCAAATATTTGAGAAAATACTTCAACAATGAAAATAATCTTTAGTTAGAGTCCATTGTCTGGCCCTTACTGGCCTATTAAAGGGAACACTGTGTACTGTGACCCCCTCTTTTAGCCTGTAAAACATTAATTGAGATAAATTCAATCACCAATATGACTATTTTAATGTTATCCCCACTGCTTTGCACCCTCTTGTTCATCAGATGAGACTAGCCTATTACAGCATCCTCTGAGGTTGTCCAGTGTTAAAAACCCAATGTTGAGATTTCCCATGATTCATGTGTCTCATTCTTTTTTAGCAAACCTGATTCCTCTGCCTTATGGAAATTAGCTGGAACTTATCCAAATCCCAAAACCGACTGTAAATAGATTAGCCACATAATTAAAATTCTATTTCCACGGGATTAAACACCAGTTGTCAGCAAAGCTGCTTTCAAAGAAACAAGGGGTGGGGTAGTAGCTGCCTACAGGAGTAGCAGCTGTCAGGATGATAACGTCTTTGCTATGGGAGGGAATGAATAAGAAAAAATAAATAAATAAACATAAACAGTCCGTGTTTGCCAAACGGATCCACATTAGGCACGTAAACAGGGATTTGTGAATGGGAGCAGGGATAAAAGGCGACAATGCTGTGGCTGTGGCTCACATACAGCGCATATGCGGCCTGATGAATCAAAACAGGTGCTGTTACAGCTCCATTTTGGATTTCGATGGATTGTTGGCTGTTATTTTGTGTGCGCAGTCGATTTACTGCGTCTTCCTTGGATAATTCTTGGTCGTGAAATGTGACATGAGCACATACGGTGCGCATTTTGTCTGGGGGTGTAGTAAATCGTCAACAACGGAGCCCTGGCACAGACTGAGTGGCACTGACCAAATGTGCGAGCAGCACTGACTGAATGGCCTGTGCAACAATGAAACACAAGTCAGTGTGAGAGGGGGGGATCAGACACTGTGTGGAAGACATCAGTGTGGGGACATAAGCAGCAACAAACCAGAAACCTGACTGTAATCTCGATGTAAATCACATTTTCTCACAAGCTCTAATTGACTCACCTTTGTCGCGTCTGGAGATTCAGCCCAAAAATCAGAGACGCGCAGCGAGGAACCGTGTTAAATCCTTGTGGCTGTCCTCATTAGAGAAATAATGGAAGCGGATGGCCAGTTGCTGTGGAAACCTCAGGCCAGCCACGAATCCCATTTAGCGAGTATCGGCAGAATCGCAGAAAGGGGAGGTCATGTCGGGGACTGCCTTCGGGAGCAGAGGGCACAGCTGCCGGCCGGGGCGGCTGCTGCGGTGGGCCGGACAAACACCGACCCTCACGGCGAAAGAGCCTGTTCAGCTGGGAAGAGGCGACGGCGCGGTGAATTCATGCGAGGAAGCTGGAGTGGTGTGGTGTGGAGAAGACATGCCTCGTATGGGGGGAAGGCACGGGATAGTGCATCACTGACGAAACACGAGAGCGCAAATGTGATGAGCCTGGGTTTTACGCTTCGGACGCAGCGGCGGCGGAGTCAAGCGGATTCACGTCGTGTTGCGTAACTCGACGCCGCGGTGGTTGGTTTCTCCGAGGCGTTGGCAGGCACGACGTGACAACACCCCCGGTTAGCTTCTCTTCAATCAGCCAGAGTCACGATTGAGACGCGCTGTTTTGTATTTAAAGTGGTTACAAAAACATGACACATGTATTAAGCACATAAATCTCACGTATCATGCGGTACTAAATTAGCTTCACTGCTGGCTAGCAGAACCGGTTGCTAAGCGACAGACACTTCACTGTAACTTTGGCCTGGCGCATTGATACTAAAACGTGAAAAAAAGTGTGTTTTTTTGTTGTTGTTTTTGTATCAGGTTCAGTCCATACAGTTATCGTAAACAAGAAAATAATTAAATAAATAACATAAATAAATTATGCACATTGGACACGGAGCAATTTAAAAAAACACTTAAATTCATCGATGAATTTAAGGTCGTTATAAATAATGTGGTGACAGAGACGTGCTTCTTTTTCTTGAGAGGCATCTATGTTTGTATAGTTAATATTTTATTACGGATTTTTGTATTATATGTTGTATTAGTTGCATTTTAAATGTGTTTTGATTGTCAGTGGGACTTCCTGCTTAAATAAAGGTTAAAATAAATAAATAAATATATACATAGGAGTATCAAGTGATTACTTTAAAGAAAAATATTTAAGGCTTTACAAATTTTAATTGTTTTCATTGCTTTACTATTCTTCGGTCCATGTAATGTTGCAATGTAGTGTCTAATAATTATTTTCAATTGTATGTGCGGCATCGTTTTAGTCCATTTTTATTTGTGAATGTAAAATTTTCCATTTAAAATGAAAAGGTTATAATTGTTTGGGTTTTTTTGACAACTTTTTTTGTAATTTAATATTATTTTAATAATAAAAAAATGTCTCTTTTTTTTCTAAATTAACAGTTGAACCAGTCAGCGTCTTAAAGAAATATACAAGATCTAGCCAAATAAATGACAAATGGTTTCAATTTCATGATTACAAAACAAACATTTTCCGTCAATATCATCTCTGAATCTTGAGAGCGCCTTGTTTACAGGATAAATCAAATGTATTATCTTAAATGAGACTTGCCTAATTTTTGACTTCCATAATTGGGGGCGTTCCAATGGTTTGGAACGTCAGTCAGCCAATCACAAACGAGAACCGGAACTACTTCCTGAAAACAACTAGAGCCAAATTTAAAATGTTTGATGAGGTAGCTAGCTTAAAACATAGCCAAGCTAGCAACATTTTTAAGGAAATACTCAATATTGCTCAAACAACATGCTTTGGGAAAATGTATATATCATTAAATATGAATTTAGTCAATATAACTGACCAGTTGCCCCAAAAACAATAAGCACAAATCCAATCTTTTCTTTGTTCAGTCTCTTTGAGGCCTATATTGCTATTTGAGTTAAAAAAAAAAATCTTATTTGACAATATATGTCTGTGAAAGATACACTTTCAATGAGGGTTCTTAAATTTGATAATTAAATTAAAATACAACCTTTTTATCAGGTTTGATCTTCCCCTATCATTTTTCTTAGTTTAGAATCTGTAACCACTACGAGCATCATCAATGGTGTCTGAATATTATGTAAATGTCAACAAAATATAAAAATAATTTATTAAATAGGTCTTCCATGCAATAAAACAGGCTATTCTGATGCCACAAACCTGTATAAGGAAGTAATGATGTATTCTACCATGTAAAATGATTAATTATAAGGACAGGACATGATATCATTCTGACTCATTTTAAACAGAAATTTATGATACAAACAGCTGAGGTGAATGACAACACATTGTTTTTATTTGTCTGTTGAAATCCAAATACAATTCAATCAATGATATTCAATTATAAAACAAAGTAAATGCAAAACACACACACGCCTCTCGCCCAATGTCAACTGGGATAGGCTCCATCCACCCATGACCCTGTACCAGATAAGCTTTGATGAATGAATGAAATATATCCAATAAAATATGTAGCTGCATAACCAATCATTTAACTCAATGACAATTTGGTCTTTGTAATACTGTGCTGAATGTAAAGGACACACAGTTCAAGGGTGTTCTGAAGTGTTTCATATTAAATGCACGCAATCTTTTATTGTCATATGACCTAGTAACGATGCCAATGTTGACTCACTGATGACCGCACACACGCATTTGCACACACACTGGTAACACACACGGACATCTATCGTTTCTTTTTGCTCTCCTTCTTTGGTTTCTGTCGAATCTGAGGTGGCAGTCCTTTAGGTTTCTTCATCTGTTCAGCGGCCTTGCTATCAGTGGACTCGGTCTCCTCCTGTAGAGCAAACACAGGAAGCATTAAACACCCTGTAATTTCAAAACAAATCCTCTGAGTCATTTTAAGTATGGTGTAAAAGCACAGTTGCTAAGCATTATTAAATAACAGTGTTTTGGAGATGTATTTGGGTGATGCTTTTTGCTGTGTGACACTCACACATTAAGTATTTGCCAAGGTATTATTTTAGTAAATCTTGAAATGAAGTGCATTGGTGTTAAATAATTAGTGATACTGAGTAAAATACATTTTATTAATGCAGCTTGTATCACTCCAGATAGCTGATACTCTGTGTAAACGTATCTCAATTAAATGGACGGCTGAAGGAAATTGCCAGAGATTTGGAGCAAAAATACACACACATGCACACACCAAGCACATTCAATTCAGACGTGTCTCAACACTCTCCCTCTGTCAGCATTGTTTCTGTCTTTGTATGGCACGGCAGAATGACAGCAGCCTGTTGAAAAGGATGAAATGGCGACATACTGTGGAGAGTAATCAGCGCATCTAATGACAGTGTCTGAAAATAGAATAATTAGACGGTGGATTTAATTGCTCTTGTCTATAAATAATCTCTCCTGACAGTTGTTAGTGTGGAGATTGTGGGAGTAGCCCTCGGTGGCTCTGTCTTCATGGACATTTAAAAATAAGATATTCTGCACTACACTTTTTATCTGGTGTCACGCTTTTATTTATTTCAGAAAAACTGATTAGTAGTGTTCCGCAAGACTTCTTTTTATAAAATAGAGTTGTTATTGCAGAACCTGTAGATCTGTAGAGCAAAATGGAAAATTAATGAAAGCATTTTTCTAATTATGCTGTTATCAGCAGCTGTGCCACAGTGCACATGTTTCTGATTGTATTATTTTCATATCAGATGTAGCCACCAAAGAGAGTACTGTTGCACCCATTCTGCAGGGAAAATAATCACATAACAGAACATGCAATCTTTCAGTTTATGTTACTTGCATCTCAAAAGCTTAAGCTTTATTTGTAGACAAATTACCAAGGCATGCTGTATATTAATAAAAGCATTATGTGAAATGATAGATACAGGATATAAGATAAAACACCAGTCATTTGTTCTGGCTAAGGACTAGTGGTCTAGTAAGTGAACTTGGCTGTATGGTGTCATTGCACAGTCTCAACAACTGTCACTGTCTTGAGCCAGATATATTTCACTTGTTGTTGGAGTGCTACCAAAAAAAGGACTTAATAAGGTCAGTGACCCAAGACACAAGTCTGCTACTGCTGAAAATTTGAAATTTCATGTAGCCACCAGATATTTTTTGAGAAATACTTTGCAATCATACACTCTTTGTAATCGTTTGTGAAAACTAATATTGATCTACACACCAAAATGTTTTATTTACTGTTATATTGCTTACACTCAACTCAAAGTCATGTTGTCATACTGAGAAACCTCCAACAAAATGTTTGAATAAGATTTTGATATCTGTGTGGGAACGTTCCTTGAGCACAAGCAAGCCATTTATTCAAGGGAATGACTGACACTAGCCTGAGTCCAGACTTGTAAACTGCTGCACACATCTAGAATCTGTAAGTCAAATACAACACTAATGTGTTTCAGCCAGATTGACAAGTTAAATTGATATGTGTCCTGATGAAGTGGATTAAAACCAGCAGAATGTAGATGTGACATTTTGGGTTCAACTGCAACATTTGTTACACGTGAATCACCTATCACTCCCCATTATGTCTTGCTAATAAGAAGAAAACATGAGAAAGTACATTTTTCACAACTGTTGCTCCACCGACTTGTGTTTCCCCTCACTTAAACCTGAACCCAAACAAATTCCTAACCCTGATCAGTTGTCTCTATGGCATCTACCTATAACCTAACCTCCACCCTCGCCCGACTGGGGAGGGCAACAGCATGGGAAACACTGTTGAAAGTTGAGTGAAACAACCTTGTGAGTGAGGGGGGAACAAAACACTGGACACGAGACCTGCTCCTCTCCCTCCCTTGGTGTCTACCAGTGGTTGACAATAACAAAGTACATTTAGTTAGGTATCGTACTTTAGCGCAGTTTTTGAGCATCTGTACTTAACTTAAGTATTTGTTAACTTACTACTTTGACTCCACTACATGTGATGGACAAATATTGTACTTTTGACTCTGCTACATTTCTGTGGAGGCTCTCGTTACTCGTTACACTTGTTCTGAAGTCAGCTGATGATTTTTTCCCATCTCTAATATGCAAAAGTCTGTTAAGTGTGATCATGCTGTTGTGCGTGTGGTTTGTCTGTCGAAGCAGTGTTCCTGTGCCTCAACTCCCTGCATGTGCTACTGAGATTGGGCAGCTCACTGGTAGAAACAGGTAGAGAGAAGAGGTCATCAGTAGGTGGTTGTATTTGGTTATGTGGTGTTACTATGGCTACAGCAGCAGATAGAGATGAAGATTCCCTGCCAGATCAGCCATGGCCAGACCTCAAGTCAACGGTTTGAAGTTTTTGTGATGAAGATTAGTTCATATAGTTTCAAATGTTTGCTGTTGACTTCATCATGGCCTGTAAGAATTCACCATCAAAACTGAGAAAGCACGTCAAGGTATTTGAAAATTTGCTTCATGCTTAATTCCAGGTTAATCATTTAAATAAAGTTGTCTGTGCTTGCAGTAGTTGCAAGTTTAGTGTTATGTTTCGTTAAATGACTGCTTATGGATGTTGTACACTGTTAGAAATATTTTTACTCAGAATTTTCACTTAGGCTGTGGATTCACTTAAGACCCAGTACTGTGTGTGTGTGTGAGTGAGTGAGTGAGTGAGTGTACAAAAATACATTGAGATTTAAAAAAAAAAAAAAAAAAAGTATTTGGAATACTTCAGTTGTTTTAAAAGCAAGGACTCCAGTGCTTTAACTCGAGCAATAATTTGACTCTGCAACTGTCACTTGTACTGGAGTGACCAGGAGTATCTGTACTTTGTCCACCACTGGTGTCTACTCACTTGTTCATGGCTCTTGGATGTGGGAATGATGATAGCCAGGATGCAGATGAGCTGGAAGATGGCACCCAGGAACAGCCCATAGCGAAGCAGGCTCTCTAGAAAGGTGGGCTCAGGGACCTCTGGAGGGGACAGGTCCAGTTCTGCAGACATGCTGCTGCTGCTTGGTCTGTTACTGTGGAGTGCGCCTATCTGTGCCAACAACAGCAGCACAGTTATCAGGAAGATAAAAGAAATAGGTCTGTGATCCCAAACGGTGGTGTATGGGGATTAAATGGGACAAAATGTAAAGGCGTTCATCTGTCTCTTATTGAAGCTAACAATATAAACAGTTAGCTTTGAACAAAAGACAAGCGTGGAAATGTGAATTAAACGATATACTGTGCTCTCATAACGTGTTGCTTATAAAAGACAACTTTTACCTTATTGTTGACAGACCCAGCTAAGTCACATTTACAACGCAGCTACGGGTCATTTCACAGCCTAGAACATCAGTGTGGCTACATTATTACATGCAAAGATTTAAGCTAACGCTAAGCATGAAAATAATAAACGTTAGGTGTGCGGAAGAAACTTAATAGTGGCGGGAATATTTCACCCTTCTTTTGTCGTCACAGGGATATTAACATCAAAATCTGTGCAAAATACTATATATTAGCAAAGCTGTAAAACGCTATCAAGTAAGAAAATGCTAATTTAGCTTACAAAGGGGAAAAAAAAACATACGCTCATCGGACGTGACGTCACGAATCTTTGCTCTACTTCCGCTGTGGTGAATGTTTTGAAAATGTCGCCCTCTAGCGTTATATTCAATCATTATTTTTGGAGGCTTTTCACTCTCAGTACTTCCAGATGAAAGTATTCCATAAATGTACTTCCTTAAAAAACATTATGTATTTATGTACGTGTATTTATGTACTTCAAATTCGGGGTTGTACTCCACTGTCATTTTATACAATTCTACATTTCAGAGGCAAATACTGTAGGCTACTTTTTACTTGACTACAGTTGCTGTACTTTCTGAGATTACAGTTTCAATTTTGAATGTTTCTGATAAACTAAAAGGATGTAGTGTTCCTTTATGTGTTCAGAAAACTCTCCTACTTCTTAAAATAAACTATTTAAAAAATCCTCATGGACCAGCTTGAACATGTACTGTCACAAAGCTGAAAACAGGGCTGTTTTTCTGACACCATGTAAACCTTTTAGGGATGTTTCTCACACGGCAGCCATACCAAAACATACAGTATGATTATCTCATAGATTGTGATGCATTGCTGTAAGTTAAACCAATCAAAAGGATATACAGGAGTACAACCTTCAACATCTACCGCAGAAAAATGCAAAAAAAAAAAAAAAAAAATTAACGCAGCTGTAATATTAATTAAAAGTCATTGTAATAATTGTAAAACACATACAGGGAACACTTTAATGCACAATTAATTATTTCACTTTTGCTATTTTGAGTACATTTTTGTTTTTTGAATTCAGGACTTTGACTTGTACTGGGGTATTTTGAGTGTTGTATTGCCACTTTTACAGAATCTGAATACGTCTTTCATCACTGCTCATAACGGATGCACTGTTTTAGTTTGAACTAGTCTTGTTAAGTATTTAAACTTAAAACTGTGCTTACACAGTGTTGCATCATCATTGCAACACTCAAAAAGGATTCTTTAGAGTCAGTCGGCTACTTTTTAAACACGCTTTTATTGTGAATGTAATACACTACGGCAGTGGTTCTCAACCAAGGTTCCTTGAGGAAGAGAGTCTCTATGTGTCAGCCCTGTGATAGTCTGGCAACCAGTCTGTCTGTCTAGGGTGTACTCTGCCTCTCACCCTGTGACAGCTGGGATAGGCTCTTGTACCAGAATAAGCAATTACAGAAAATTAATGAATGAAATAATTCACTTTAGAAGTCAGTGACCAGTGTGAGTAAGGGTCGTAAGAGTGACTATTCTGATCATAGCTTTCCCTTCTTCCATGGTTTTCTCTGCAGCTACAGTTGACAACCATATAATTCTGGTCTTACTCATATCTAACAACCAAAATCTTTTCAGATGGAGGTCCCTGAAGTGAAATCTTCTCAAATGGGGGTCAGTGCATTAATGTGTATTAATTCAAGGATCCTTGACATTATATCTCTCAGATATTTTTTATTTTTAATAGTGGCTAAAATATGCCGTCATGCTAGGGAAAGGTCATTTTAAATACAAAGGGAGATCTATCTATCTATCTATCTATCTATCTATCTATCTTTAAATTATATATATTTAAAGTGTGTTAGCTGAGTAAGATTGCCCTTAATAGAAACACACCGATTCATATAAACAGAATTTATTTAATATAAAATATTTTATACATGCTTACAAGGAGCAATTGTACAAATATATGAACAAAGACAAGTCAAACAGGTTAAAATAAAGACACAATAGAGACACAGTATAGGTATGACACCCATTCTACTATCTTGGCTAGGGTTAAAGTTAAAGCTTAAAGTTAAGGTGAGCCTGAAGTGGATCACTGTCTATTTTTTGCCACCAATCCATTTTTTTTAAGTCTACAAGTATAAGCTCTCTCCGAGATATTTAACATATCATGCTTAATCTAATGGACATCAGAGCTGCCGCAGGCCTCCTCCAGGGTCACTCTCCACTGTGGCCTTTCATGTCTCTTTTGATGATGTCATTCACTGGAAAACATCACAAACAAGGGTAAATGAGTTAAATATTCACAACTATCCTGTAATAAAGAAAGACATTATGCTTATTATATATAACATTTTGAAGGAATTCTTGTATTTTTAATGTGCTTTTTCTTTAACCTCATTCGTCCTCAAGTCATTCATCTGAGCTGTTGGAGTGTGGGGAGGTTGTGCAGTCTACATTTTTTAAATTCTACCAGCAGATGTCGCCAAAGTTAAATTATTGGGTAATTTTATAGTTTCATTATAGAGTCAACAATGAAGGGAAGTCAGGCAATGAAGGTGACGAGAGAGTAACAAAAGCCCCCCAGCTGGACTCGAACCTGAGACATTGTGGTTTGTGGTTAAAGCCACCACGGGGTCCCCAGAAATGATCTAATTTCATACATCCATCTGTCCATTGATGACTTGCAGCCTCTTTGGTGATGATGTAAAGTATTCTCCACTAGATGTCTCTATTTTATTGCGCACAGAATTATGTACCAATGAATAGAATAAGCACATTCGTTGTTGCACATGACAGAAAGAATAATTATAATCTCAAAAAAACAAAACAATAATAGGAATACTAACATAAATACAGCATTTAATTTGGTTTGATTGTTGTAGTTACTTTAACTTTCACTTTTACCTCCTCAAACGCCAGAACAAAGTACATGCTTCTCTAACCACAGGTGTGTCTGCATATATTTGCCTATACAGTACACTTCCTGTTTCTGTCTCCCATCATAGAAGCGTAAAGAGAAACTTTGCCCCACAGCAAACAAGGTCAAGGTACATCACTTGTTCTCTCACTTCATGGCCCCATTATTTCTTTCTCCTTCATCAGCCTCAGATAAATCAGGAATCGTGAGCATGTTGTATTTTCTTTCAAATGAGACTGAGCACGCGCATCAAGCTTCTACAAGTGTAGTGAGTGTTTTCAGTTGTGTGAGTGAGAGTGAGACTGAAAGAGACAGGAAAGTGGATAGAAAGGCCCAACAGAAAACCACAAGGCGGGATTTGCAAGCGTACAGTTTCAATGCGCTCGTATGCATATGCAGACTGGACCACAATTACTCATCCCTCAGGCAAGTTTGCACGTATTTTGCAAAGTATATTCCCCCATTTAATCTTTCTTTGTAAAGCAATAAATTAGGTATCTTTTACAACTCAGCATATCAATGATCTGTTGTCAAGGAAAACCAAAACAGCCGAAGTACAGATAGCGTTGTGCTTATCCCTCAAATGTGAAGAACGGCAACATTCAGCGTGTGACGAAGGAAAAAATAAGGGCTTAAGAGAGAAGTTTATACCCTGCAAAGATGTGAGGGATGAGGGGGGCAGACGCTGTTCAACAATCCCACCAGCACTTCATTTGAAGCATATTGACCCCTTTAAGAACAAAGTATGTAATAGAAGTACTCACCGTCCTCCAAGTAAGCATAGCGGAGGTTCTCTTGTTTGACCATGACCCTCTCTGGAGCTCGTTCCTCATGGTTTCCTCTTCCAGAGCCAATCTGGGTCATTGGCTCCACTCGGCCTACGACCTTCCCTTGAGCTTGACCCTGGATGTATCTTGAAGGTGGTGACTTTCCCAGTGGCAGCGCTGTCTGCACAAAACCCTGATGTCTTGACACCAAACAGGCCTCGTATGAATCACCAACCTGAGGACTTTCGCCCAGTTTGCCCACAGGGGTTCTGGCACTGACGCACTGGCTGGGGGTGGAGGCAGCGTGGGATCCACCGAGGAGGTTGGTGTAACACGGGTTTGCAGCGTGGTACAGCATGGGGTTGTTGATCATAGTGCCGGCTCTGGACTGGTAATAGACTGGTTGGTCGTCCAGTGGATCAGGGATTAACACGTGGGCTCTGGGGTCTACAGTGGTTAGATGGTACATTGTTGGAGAAACATTCAAGGCTTGAAGGTTGCTCTCCTGCTCCAGGGGATGGTAGAGTGACTTCATTGAGAGGCCCGACAGAGACTGATTGTCTGAGTAGATGTGCGAATTCAACTGGTAGTCGTCCAGTGGTTCTGCTTTGATGGCTAGAAAATAAAAGGTGAGAGAAATCAGTGTAGGTCATTAGCTCACTAATGATCATGATAATATCGTATCATGGATTCTCTGGTGATTCCCACACCTACTGCATACCACCTATTAAATCAACAATTAAGTATGCCATTACCAACAGACTGTTCACACTGATGTATATACGGCCACCCAACAGCTCTCACATCTCTGAAAACATCGCAGGAAATTTCCAAACAAGCATTATTTGGATAAAATGACCACAAATCGGGAATCTCAATAGTTATTTTCTCGTCTGAAAAAATCTTAAAATAATAAAATAACATATTAACAGGTTTTTTTTAATAGCTTTAAATCTCTGCTATTGCCAGCTGTTGCGCAGTCTGAAGAGATGCGATGCATTGTGGGGCAGCTGAGCATGTCTAGTAAGCACACTCACAAATCCACATACTATGCAGTGTGAACGCACCACACACTCAATTTTACTTGACACTTAATAATATGTCAGTGGGATTTGTGCTTCAAGCTAAATGCTAACATCAGCATGCTAACATCCTCACAATGACATTGCTAACATGGTGATGTTTAGCTGGTGTTAATTACTGAATTTTGACCTGTTGGTGCGAGAGAGAAAAAACAGGGGATCACCAAAGCTGGTAGGATTCGTTATCTGGGGACCATGGGTGTCTGTACAAAATTTCATGGCAATCCATCCGATAGTTGTTGAGATATTTCAGTCTGGAACAAAGTAGTGGGGCGACTGACCAACAGTGACTATGTTTACATACAATAAATACTGCGGTTCTTGCCTATTCTATTCCTACCAAGCTGTTAACATAAAAATACCATTAATATTCCTGTGCACATGCAGCCGTGCATATTCTGATTAACATGCCCTTAAGTGTTGTTTATCATTTCAAAATGGAAAGTGCAGCAGTTGAAGACTTTTGTGCCATTTTTGCATATCTGCGTCAAAATAAAAAGTTTCCTATTTCAAAGTTTCCTACCGGTGGCACAGCCTCTCTCTTTTGCTCTTTCAAGCAACCTCTTAGAAAGGTCAGTGTTGTGATATTTTTCACATATCCGAAAAGCAGTTGATATCCAAAGCTTTCATAATGTTTAAAAATAGGTGTGTTTTTTTTCTTTCCAACCAGAAATGTGGAGTTTTCTTTTGGGCATGCATCTTTACCCCACAGCCTTGCAAACTGTTGGTTAGTTAGTTTGGGTACAGCGTGTTCATGACAACACACAGTGCCAACCATAAAGAAGCAAGAGGTTTTGGTTGCGGTAAAAACCCCAAATGAAGTGCAAAGTCTGAAGCACTGTATACATGTCAAAAGAATGCTTCTATAATCCGAATAAGTTCAGCAGAACCCACGTCTTGATCGGAAAATGTCACACCCGTAAAAACACAGTCCATGTAAACATAGTCAGTGACATTTTTTAGCTGTGCTGGCTCTATGAGGCCTGAGATGTTACAGGGATCCAGTAATTTAGGAAAAAACACCAATGCATTTCATGATAAGGTATTATAATTAACATTTCTTTCATGTACCCACTCAACCCGCCTCATCCATTTATACTCAAGTTTCCTAAACCAATATGTGTGAAAGTGTGCGTCTGCATTTCAGCTGTGGATGTTTCATGTGGGTGGAGAGAGCGTTAGTGAAAACAATAGTGGAGTATTTTTCCACTTCAGAGCAACTGAGAGTCGTAGCCCAAAGCCTGCAGTTCGCTGGTAACAGCTACGGACTGATTTCTTCTGACTGGAAGTGATTTCTTGTAGATCATCAGCGTAAAGTGAGGATAACAGAAAGAAGCTAGTGGCTGCTTTTGATTGTGTTAAAGTGTCCTCGGGTTTAAATGTTCCTTTAATTATGTAGCAGTTAGATCTAATCTGATTAAAGTGTTGCCGGTTCCTGTATCCTCAAGGTTTGACTTAATCAAGGGATGAGTGGCTTGTTGTTGAAGTTTGTGCTGACAGAGGTGAGAACAACTGACTCTCCCTGCTGACCCTCGGCTTGACAATGAAGACCTTTCAGTCACCTTCCCGTTTCTCAAATATTTGAGGCCCCACCTCTTCCTCCTGTAACGTCAGAGCAGACATGGCTGACAGATAAATACCTATCATAGGAGTGTAGATGAAGTGCTGAGGCTGACTGCGTTTCTTCTTCCCGTTGATGACATAGAAGTTGACTTTGGCCGGGTGGGAAATGTTCTGCTTTCGATACGGAGGGACCTCGACAAAAAGCATGTTCTAGATGGGGATTGCGACACAAAAGAAAAACAAGATCACTCTTGAGATTAAATGTCATGTTGAAACAGACAGGCAATTGTGTGTTTCAGAATCAAAATCAGTATCAGAAATAAAAGTCCCAGAATGTGATATATACATAGCAGCGTGCTGTGTGCGGTCATGGGTTTGTGTTTTGCTTTCTGTTTATTTGAATTTGTAAGAGTCTACTTTGATCAAATGCCTATCTACAAAAGTAAATCCTTGGTTATATAAAATGATGCTACATGTGTCAGTGCAGATAAGTGGAAGTCAACTCACAGCTTGTGTTTTGTCTCTGTCCACAGTGGCCTCCACCTCCCAGAGTTGCTTCCCATCTGAAAGCAGAGCGAGTAAAGTGTACATGCATTAAAGCAGAGTAAGTTTAAAGTTTCACATTTTGGGAATACGCTTATTTGCTTTCTTGAGGAAAGTTAGATGAAAAGATTAATACTGCTCTCATGTCTGTACAAGAAACATGTGGCCTGAAACAGCAGCCAGTTAGCGTTAGCTTAGCTTAGCACAAATAATGGAAACCACAGACATCATGGATGTGGCGACCCTGACGTCACCCATTAGTTTTTCACGTCTCCCATTTTGACACATCGAGTTGAGCATTACAACTGTCGCCATACTGTTGTTGTTTTTTTGAGCCATTAGTGACCATATTTGGTTGAGAGACTGGCGCTGTAGAGGAGCAAGGGGTGGATCTGACTGAAAGCCGAGGACAATATTAGCAGACAGCCTGTCGCTCAAAGCAGTCCAGCCTCAAATATGCGTAACTTCAAGCCTCAATAAAATGTAAATAGGTGAGTTACATAAAAGTTCACCCCGTACAGTTGTCATGAAGGGAGAAATTAGTTTTCTCGATACGATACGATACGATACGATACTCGCTATAACCTTAAATTTGTCGGACAGCCGTGTGCGTGGTAATGATTTTCTCATCGTACTTGTCTGGAAGAAAGCAAATAAATCAATTCCACACAATGTGCAACTGTTACTCGAGCTACAACAAAATAAGTCGATCAAATGAAAATTAATCAACAGCTATTTTGATAATTGATTAATTGTTTTAATCATTTTTAAGCAAAAATATCGAACACTGGTTCCAGCTTCTTAAATGTGTTAATTTGCTGCTTTTCATTGTCATTTATGATTGTAAAGAAAGAGTCTTTGAGTTTTGGACTGTTGGTTGGTGAAAGGAAGCAATCTGAAGACATCACTTTGGGCTCTGGGAATTTGTGATGAGCATTTTTTTTTTATATATATACACTAAACATTTCATTATTATTAGTCATAAAAATAATCAGCAGATGAATTGATAAGGAAAGTAATTGTTAGTCATAGCCCTGATGGTTACTAATACTACTATATGTCTATAAATATACAAATGTGTAAGAAATCAGATGATGTCAATCCTTTCTTTAATTTACATAACATTATGTGAACATATTTATACTCAGACAGTGGAGAACAGCCTTCTCTTTTATGTCTGGTTTAGTGTTTCATTCCCACCTCAGTTTTTACCTGCTGTTTCTGTTTTCTACCCACGCTTTAAGAAAAAAAAAAAAAAAAAAAAAAACACAAAGCCTCTGCTCTGGGTCTGAATCTTTATCAGTCTCTCTAACCACATCCTGTTGCATAAAAACCCCACACCAAGCAACAGGGAGGCTTTACATGCAGTCAACTGTACCCATCCTGCTCTCACACCATGTCACCCAGTGTAAAATGTTGTGTGGGCAGGGGGAGCAGTAGCGAGGTGAGAATTTTCCATGTAGAAATAAATAAAAGTCGTCGCCTCCAGTAAAGCAGTAAAAGTTGAAACTAATGGCTCATTTAGTGAGAGATAAAAGTGGGGGCTGACGGAAGGTGTGCGTCACTGATGTTGCCCGGGCAATATGCAAATACTCTGAAAATACAAATACTATATGAGTAGGTTGATGCGCTCGGGCAGGATATTGAGAGGCCACAGATGTATCCGGGTATTGCATCAAGTGATGGTTTATTTTAATCATAGAAACCTGGTTGGAGTCCAAATATACACACATAACAATCACAGGTCAACATAACACACAAATCAAGAGTGTTTATAAAACCTAGAAACACAGCATAATGTATTAAAGGAATGGTTCAACATAGGTTATATGCTTAAGCTGAGCCTTTCTCACATCTACTCACTTAAATCTCAGCAAAAATGTTAATTAGCCTATTTCCCAAAATGTTTCACTATTCTTTTTAAAGGGACAGTTCACCCTAAAGTCAAAATCACATATTTTCCCTCTTACCTGTAGTGCTGTTTATCAGTCTGGTCTGTTTTGGTGTGAGTTGCTGAGTGTTGGAGAGATCGACCAGAGAGATGATTGCTTTCCGTTGTATATAATGGAACTTATGGCACTCGGCTTGTGGTGCTCAAAAAAATGAGAAAAAAAGAAAAAGAAAAAAAAAGAAGTCTTTCCAGAAATCATGAGCCAGCTACTCAAGATAATCCACAGACTTTTTTGTGAGCAGTTTCATGTGGGAAGTATTTTCTTTCTATCAAACTACACCTGCCGACTGTTTTATGGCGCAGAAGGAAGTGTGCATCTACTCATGGAAGAGAGACTTGTGTTCAAAACAGTGCAAGAAGTAAAAATGAATGACGTCCTCCTTGGCTGAGCAGTAACGTTAGCTAGCTCAGGTGAGCTAGCAGTATTGAACTATTAGTTAGAATATAGTTGCTGTCACGAGCACAAACGTCTCATCCATGAGTGGATGCACACTTCCTTCTGCGTGGTGATCTGGTTTTCAGGTGTAGTTTTTGTAGAATGAAAGTAGCTACTACATGGTCACAACAAGGTCTGTCGATTATCTTGAGTAACTGGGTCAAGATTTCTGAGTAAAGACACTGATGTCCAGTTTTTCAAATCCACTTTTTGACACTTTGAGCATCACAAGCTGAGTGCCATCTAGTTCCATTATATTGGAGAGAAGGCAGACATCTCTACAGCCCATATCTCCAACACTCACCAACTCACATCAAAACAATCTAGACTGATAAATAGCACTACAGGTAAGGCTGAACTGCCCTTCATTTTCAGCACCAACTGAAACATAAATTTGAGGTACATGAAGAGTTGAAATAATCTAACAACATATGATTACTGATAAAAATTAAAAAATAAGTCTTCCTCACCTTGTGCCTTCTCTGAAAATATAACTTTGGAGTCGGATGTGAAATTCTGTCCAGTAAGGACCATTTGTTTGCCGCCAAGTACCGACCATCGGTCCAGATCCTGCCTCTCAACTGCAGGGAACTCCTGAGCTGAGCGCTGGGCTGAGGAAACAGGAAGACACAGCTGCATGAAAGACCACACAGAGGACAGTATGTATCTATGTAACTTTTGGCCACAAGTTACAATTAAGAGTGTTGTATCAAACTCTGGAGAAAGATAGTTGATTGTTGAGTCTCATTACAGGTCGTCATATACTGACGCTTTGGGCTGATGGTTGGACCGAGCCACCAAGCCTGGGAATGAGACTGAACAATCAACCATCTTTCTCCAGAATTACATACAACACTTTGAAATCAAAAGGTTGAATAATAAAATGTATTGTAACAGTTCCATAAGTAAAGAACAATCGTAAAGTTAATAAGCTTGCCAGCAACTGACAATAGCTATCTAACATTAATCACCACAGACTATGGATCATACAAGCCCAAGTATATTTTCATGTGTAAGAGAAAGATATATTCACATTTCAGTTACTTTAAAGAGGCATTAGGTTTCATAATGAGCTATAAATAGTAGTGTAAAAAATAAAGATAAATTCAGCAATGACAGATGTCATCATCCAGTGACAAGAAGCAAATTCATCTTATCGGGAATTAAACGCTCCTTACAGCATTCAATAGGATGAGAGGCAGCTTGAAGAGACACGATCTGGCCTCCAGGCTGAGGGATGTGGACACGAAACACCAAACGCACACGCGTGTTCTTCCGTCCAATGTCCGTCTCACCGTTCCTCAGCTCGATGTCGGCATTCCTCAACTTCAAGATTCCTACACAGTCAATCCTGTGAATGTAAGAAAACATGAGATTAAATACAAGTGTACTGAATTAGGCCGAAGTGCTGCGTTAGAAACCTCGTTCTTATTCACAATCCGCTGCGAGACAGTTTCTGTTTACATGCAGTGAAAGTGTAATCTGCATCGGTTCTAATTTCTCAGTTAAAACCCAGTTTTGTTCTGTGACATTTCGATTAACTTTTTTTGGCATTGTTTTTCGTGATTCATCATACGTCAAGTTCATGAAAGTGTGTCTTTTCTTGCTGCTGCGTCTGGTAGGCCTTTCTTGGAAAAACTCTCTGGCACACAGGAAATGATGCAGTCTATGTTTCCGTCAGCGGCGACTTGTTGGAAGCGAAAAAGACAAAACCCTTGCAGCTGGTGTGAGCAGCCATAGTCACCATGTGTGAGGATAAAAAGAAAAGAGCACTTAGCACAAAAACACCTGTAGACTTTAATGTATCTCTGCATCTGTAGATTGCTTAATAACATGTATCCCACAGTATCTCTCTGCTACTCACACTACTCTCATATGGTTCTTTGGCTCGAGAGGGATCTCCAACACTTTGGTCCCGTTTATCATCCTCTCCATGCTGGGCGTGGTGACGGTCTTCCCGGTGATGCGGTGGACCTGGTAGAAGGCGTGGGGCTTCAGGATCCTCTCGTCAGCTGTTCCTATGAAGACCTGCAACCCCAATGGAGCTGTGCCTTGGTACCCACAGAGCTATTAGGGGCAACAAAGGCGATTAAATGCATGATTTACACTGAATTAAACTAACTATGATACTGACAACAAATCCACAAAGCACAATAAATCTCTTTTCCCTGTGGGGATGATTTCACAGCAGGTCACTGTCTAACTAGCATAACAAGAACACTGATTTGCATAGTCCGTTTGTGCATCAGTGCCAGGAACACCAACAGTAACAGCTTATTGATTAACTCACCAGAGCAGTGAATAAAGCAGAACCATGAACCAATTCTTGCAGTATGCGTCAGTACACCTGATCTGTGACTCTATGTGTGTCTTTTGGCAGTTTAAAACAATGCATGTCTTAATAATTTGTCCTTGTAGGGGTGAGGATCTTTGATTCATTTGCACGGCTGTCATTATCCAGGAAATACCACCCCATGTTTACGATCTCTGCTACCTCATTTCTCTTTTACAGAACTGGAAGTGACACAGATAATATGTGAGAGTGATTTCCCTTTCTTGTTTCCATCTTTGCACACCCCACACCCAAAAAAGCACCTGAATTTCTGGATGTCCTCCGTTAGGTGTCTTCACAGCTCCTCGGCTGCCCTCGGTCTCATAATGAGCTCTGTGGTGAGATCTGGGCTCTTGCTGGATAAGAAGCTCATACTGACCGGACTGACTGGGCAACGGCCACTCTAAAGACGGAAGTGGAGCCACTGAGAGACCACTGGAGAAAAGACAGGCAGAAATACTCATCTCATACTTGTCAATTAAATGGTGCACATCAACACTGGTCATTTGAGCTCATTAAAAAGATCTGAATTTTTAAAAGTTAGAATGAAGGACAGGCAACACACCTGAATGCCCCGTGGTGGACTGGATGAGGAGGAGGCCACACAGCTGGGAGCATATAGAAGGTTTCAGACTTGACTTCAGCTCCTGCCCTGCCCATTCTCTCCTGCTCAATGGACCAGTCGTACCCCTCTCCATACACACAGTCCTGCCTCTGAGTCTGCACCCCCGCAGGAGGCATTGCTCTGGGAAGACTGGAGCTGAGGCTGCTCAGCATCTCCTCCAGGCCTGAGGAGGTGGTCTGAGCTTGGGGCTGGAACTCAGCTGGAGCCTGGTATTGGTGAAGGTAGTAGGACCCCTGCTGCTCATGAGGTGAAGGGATGGGACTGGGGCTCCGGGAACGCTGCTTGACAGGAGTGCCCCCCTGACAGGACTGGGTCTTGTCATAGGAGCGCTTTCCGTGCGGTGAGGCAGAGCGGGAGCGCTGGTGGGGGAGCGATGAGGCGGGGCGTTGGTGCTGGGGCAGGAGATAGGTCTCATCTGTGACGCTGTTGTGAGGCGAGGCTCCTGGAGAGGAGTGGGCAGAAGAAGTGTGGATGCCCTGGATGCCCGGGCAGAGGTCTAAGCCGGACAACCCCACACCGCAGCTGCCTCCGTTTGAAGGTGAGACGCACGGTGAAGCCACAGGAGAGTACGCGTCTGCAGGCCAGCCTGTGGAGGAGTTACTGCTGGCAGGACTCACACACTCCCTGTACGGCCCCAGAGCTTTGGTGCCAGGGCTCGGATCAAGGTTCTGAGAGCTGAGAGAGTCACCCGACACCCGAGTGATCTCAATCCTGGGGCTGGGAGCAGGGATGGCGCCTTGTCTTGATGCCAGCCCCAGGGATTCAAACACTGCCCCTGGCATGTTGTCAGTGGTGGGGCTGTGAGTGGAGGGGTCCTGACTGGAGGCTGGCTGGTTGGAGCTGGACATGTACGCAGCGTGATGGTCCACCACCAGCATTGGAGGCTGGCTGTCATTCTGTAGGAGAGCATCTGATTCATCTGTCAGAAGTGAAAGTGAGGATTAACATGTGCACACATATGGCAAGCCGTTTTAACATTTAATCACTAAGTCTGACTATCCGGAATTACCATTATAGATATCTATAACGTCATTTTGACTAGTAGTAATGTCATTGTGACTAGTCTGAATTTTAATTTAAGATATCTGTAACGTCATTTTGACTAGTCAAAACTGAATTACAGATATCTATGATGTCATTCTGAATAGTCAAAACTGAATTACAGATATCTATGACGTCATTCTGACTACTCAAAACTACAGTTACAGATATCTGTAATTCAGTTTTGACTAGTAAGATTCAAACTATTTTTGCCATTCATGTGTATGGGGTTTGTCATTATAGATATCTACAATTATATTATGACTATCTATAATTCCAGTTTGAGATATCTACAACGTCATTTTGACTAGTCATAATTCAGTTGCGGATATCTACAACGTCATTTTGACTAGTCATAATTCAGTTACAGATATCTACAACGTCATTTTGACTAGTCATAATTCAGTTGCGGATATCTACAACGTCATTTTGACTAGTGAAAATGACGTTGTAGATATCTACAATGTCATTTTCACTAGTTATAATTCAGTTACAGATATCTACATCATTTTGACTAGTCATAATTCAGTTGC